TGGTACTCGAAGTTTTGGCATAGCTTGATTACTTCAAAAGTTATTCGTAAAAAACTGTGATCGCATCTAGAGCCGCTAATTTGGCTATTTTGACCCCTGTGACCCCTGAGCCAACCTCCAAAATGCGGCAAATGCGTCATAGGACACACGTCATTGCTGAAAGTGAAGCTGAATCGCAATATAACAGAAAATCCCGACCGCAAACTAACACCGGCCAAATTGCCCCACACCCCCGGCCAAATAACCCTGCTAGTGGGGCAATTTGGCCGCCTTGCAGACCTTTGTAATACGTCACAATTTCAATATAAGTAACTACTCTATCATTTCAAGTTCACTGTCCAGTAAAGTAAAATGAATGCGACACCTGCCAGCGTTGAGAAAATGCAGAAATGTGTCGTCAATTTTAAGTTATATCGTTTTCTAAAAAAGCGGCCAAATTACCCCACTCTCCCCTATTACGGCGATAATACGACGCCAGAAATTTTGCTTGATGGCTTTGGGCTGCCGTAAACTGAAATGCTCGTAAGCATTGAGTGTAATGCATTCTCGCAACTGCTATACGATGTCAGATGCAAAGCGAATTGGCTGGCTGGAGAAGCCTGCTACCAAAAATACAGCCGTATAGCTTCTTTCAACCGTAAATAGTTAAGGCATCTTTTTACTACTATCAAACAAAGGCTGGTAACACCTTGGAGTTTCAGGAGCAACTCTAAAATCATTTAAAGCAAAAATTTGTTCTTTTAAAATTTATTCGCAGTTTGAAACTGTAATTTTTCAAGTATAAAGTTCAATCAGCGTACCACGAATGTATCAGGCGATTGTAAGGCCATATGTCTAACAAAGCAATCGACGTTTATTGTTTGATAGGATGCAGTTGGATTAGCACCAACTCCAATTTTGTGTGTTGTGTCACTTCACCTATACCTATTTCCGTCATCCAAACAAAGTTTATAACTGCAGGCTAAATTAGGTAAGTTAAACTTCGCTTTATTTTATCTCCCACGAGTGATAAAAATGTCTTCAACTGGTGACAAACTGATCAAACTTTTAAACTGTCTTATGGATCGTATGAAAAGTTTCCTGGAAACGGCATTTCTGCCAAACTCAACTTAACATGACATTTGGGTCGCCTGTGACTGGGCTATTTGTTACAGGTCACGGTGCGCTAACTGCCTACACCAATCATCACTGATGTGGTTCATTTGGCTTCACCTTCGGGTGGTCTTGATTTAATCCGATCTGTCTGTGACCTTACCTTCCAGTGAGACACACTGTCTCCAGCTGAACGTGCCCTGATTATGACTCAGTGCCGGCGCCGGTTGACTCGAATGACTCGATTGGTGAGTCAGTCGGGACGCCCATCGGGATCCGGGCCAGCGGCCGCGGTGGCTGGACCCGGCCGGCGCGCCGCCGGGTCCGGATCCGGATCCCGCCACGGGTCCGGCGCCGTGCCCGGGGCCGGCGCCGCAGCCCGCGCCGGCATCACGGCATGTGGCGTCCCCGCGCACACTGCCCTCCCGCCGCACACTGCCGTTTCGCCGCACACTGGCGCCTCACGCCGCCCCCCGACTCAAGGCGCGCCGACTCACGGCGAATCGGATCGCGAGTTGGGTTGATCCAATCAATGGCGCTCTGAATCACGGCTTGGTGCAGTTCGATTTACGCATTAGATCGGTTCTATTCACTTCACAGCTTCGCTGAGATCGATTCGACTCACGGTCCTATTCACGGCTCAGCTTCGCTCGATTCACGGCTTCTTTCAATTCACGGCTAAGATCGGTTCAGCTCACGCCTTGGCTCGGTCGGACTCACGCCCTGTCTGGCCAGAACTCCTCGCCTGCCTGTCCCTGTCACCACTGCTGTCTGGACCGTCACACGCGCTGAACTCTCACTGAGCACACGCCAGGGACCGCTCGTCCAACGCCGCACACTGAGGCGATTCGATAAGCACCCGTCTGGCGCACCAGGCTCCCACAGCTGTCGCCTGGCCCCCTTTCACAGCCGCCACCCGAGTTGGTCGGTCCTCGGACACCTGTGTGATAGGGTCGGGCGTGCCACAAATTCTGCGTGAGCAGATGTGAGCGCTACAATTAAACGCAGTGCACCTGCACACTCACAGACGCTCACATGAGCTCACAAGCTCTCACAGACGCTCATCCGACCCTTGAGCTGGCTGATCGTTGCTCTGCGCCACTAAGCGTCTCCCTTTCGGCTCCGATTAGCTCTCTAGAATCCACTTCTCTCGTCACCGACTTCACTTATACCTCACGTCTCGTCTCACGTTTCGTCTCGTCTCAATCCAGGCGCGCCCTCTGCCGCTCGGCCCACCCCGGCTGGTCTGAGAGCTGCGGCAGCCGCGCGCGCCTCCGTCGGCCGGCCGTCCGGGCAGCGACTGCAGAGCTGCCGCAGCTCGGCCGGGGCCGCCAGGTGCTCGCGCAGCTCAGCTCGGTGGCGGCGGAGGCGGCGGCTGCAGCCCAGCCAGGTGAGCCGCGCTGCCCGCCGGCCGCCGCCAGGTCACCGGATGGGCTCAGAGAGACGCGTCCCGGGGTCCAGGGATGTCCCAGAGTTCACGGAAAGCGAATGACGTGGGGTGGATGAAATGGGGACAAAATAGGCCTCAGTACTGTGTGTTTAGCTGGTGGTAAAGATGTGTCTGGCGGGTGCAATGCAGACGGTGTGGTCGTATTGATCCGCGTGAGCTCGTGTCAGGCCATTCATAATTCAGTCCAATGCAAACCGGCACAATTTCACCGGGGCGTCGTTTCCTCAGATATGCCTGCTTTGCATGGAACAGTGACATGAATAGAGCCATTCGAGCTCAGATGATATCCACAAATTGGAAACACGCATGCATGAAGTGATACTTTCTAGATAGATGTGATTCTTTGAGCATGCCGCCCTGCAAGAAGATTGGTCGTTCTAATATGTCCCACAAAAATGTACCTACAATTCATATGCAAAATGCATTGACATTTGCCTGAGTGCCAATGCATCATGCCTTATGATATATATTTTCATTTTAACGCAGAACGCTGCTGTTTGACAATCCCATAAATGGGTGTCAAACAGCTTTTATGCAACATACTGCGTATGGCTAGCTCGCTTTGGCCTTAGTTACACAGGATGCCGTTAGGATGGGTACATACTCGGGCTCGCCTTTGCCATTCAGCAGGGACCGCTCGGATAGGAAATCAGCGACGACAGGCTCTGACGTCTACACCCGAACCAAAGTACGTCGAGATGTTGCCGTGTTATAAGGAATGTCACCCGTACGCTGAGGGAACGATTGTCGGAATATTGATGTGCATATGTTTATAAATACCTAAAAGTAATGGTGTCTGCCTTGCTCACAAAAGGAATGCGTGATTGCTGTGGTGCATCAGCTTCCAGACTTTGAAGGCCATCATGCATGTGCAGGTTTCGATGATATTCATCGGGATATACCTAAATGGATCTTCTATGGAGCTACAGTGTCGATTGACACGACTGCGCTGTACATTTTAAAACACTTCACAGTTAGGGACGAAGATGATTCGCATCACGAGTTATAAAGTTGGAACATTTCGTTACCCAAGAAATATGACTGAAGCATTGACCTTATCTCCCTATGACTTATGAGTGACGCAAGTGTGACCTTTTCCTGTTATTCGCTCCTATTTTCCCAGTTGTGCACCTTTGCGCCTCCGAAGAACAGTTCATTTTCTCGCTGCTTTCCTCAGCCCAGCGTTTACTGCCACCTTTCGCAAAATTGCATGACAGATTGCGAGACCGTGCTAAAGCCGGTGTTGCTGGAAATGGCTGCTAGGAAGCCCTGAATCGGCTTAGAATGCCGACCGGCGCCTGAAATAGGCCCCCAGAGCGCTGGTCACGTGACAGTTCGGCGCAAGGTGACCTGGTGACCTTTACCGACCCGTCGACGACCGAGACGCAGGTCCAGACACCGGCTTACTGTGTACATATACCTGCCCGCGGCAGCCAGAGACGATCAACGGGTCCATGGCAGCCATCCGGAGGCAGTGTTCAGAGCAGTAACTCAAACACATGGGCGGCAGTTCAATTTATGTGCGCTTCTGTCGTGCTAAGGGGCAATACGGGGCTGCTAGATTAAACAAACTGACCTAATCTAGCATCGTCGACCTGAGATCATTGTTGACCACATTATTACATCCTGGAGCAGCCAGCAGTATGCCACTCAGCCTAGCAACAGCAGCGATGATGAATCGTCTCTCAGCACGGCGCGCATTCCGACCAGACCGACTCGGTAGGTCGGCCCGGTCTGACCCATGTCAGCAATCAGCACAAGTCGTTACCAGGCGACCGGGCGGATCATCAGCGCTCGCCGAGGCCCCGAGTGCTCCCCCGCGTCCCGTGCGTTCATCATCCACACGGCCGGAGCGGTCCAGCTGCGACTGGCATCCAGCCTCGTTATGGAAATAAGCTGTGTGGGCTCGGTTTGATAGAAGAGGCATGAACTGCTCTGAGTGTTTTCTGGATGTGAGGAATGGGCTCACAACAGGTATCCGTGACATTTGGTTTTACTTATGTAACGTTTTGGAAATCCTCTGCTTCCGGTGAGCGATTACGTAAGCGAGTTGAATTGCATTGCAGAAAACAGATTGCCATTCTATAAAAGTTTTCTGATTGTAGCTACTCCTACGCGTATAAGTTCAATGCCAGAAAGCAATGACCCAGGACTGAATGTCAAACGGAGCAATAGAAGGTATTGGTCAGGACAAGAATAGAACTAAATCTAATGAATTTATCAGCAAATTGTGAGGGACTTGTTTTCCCAAAAGCAGAAGTTAATGGTAGTAAGCCGGATACTTTTTTTTTGCAAAATTACGTCGTGCAGCTTCAGTGTTTGAAAGAAACTTTGCTGCTCTTAAAACGAAAACGAGATATAACTTAGGCGAAGTCCAATGTCCATGCTGTAACCTCGACATTTTGTTTAACAATTATTCACTTATAACAGAATAACAGGTGCCATACACCCGACTGACCTGGCGTTGACTCGGAGACTGCGCGGCCGGGCCCGTCGGCCTCCGTCCAGTCGTCCCTGCTCCTCTCTCCAGCCGGGTCATCCTTGGTCGGCAGCGTCTTGGAGAAGCTGACCCGCTTCACCCGCGTCGGCGACCCGTCCACGGTGCGCTGCGAGTGCGGGCTGCGGCTCGAGGACCGGACCCGCTCGCCGCGGTCACTGCTCTCCGTGTGAGTCTCGTCTCGGTCGCGATCCCACGGAGTTGGAGGAACCGACGGAGAAACGTCAACGTTTGGGTCCACCTCGTCGATCCGGACGGAGCCGCGGTCACACCAGGTCGGGAAGGGGTCGCCGGACGGAGGGTAGTTTCCCGAGGTGAGGAAGCTCGGCAGCTCGGGACGCGGCGGTGGGGGTGATAGTGGTGAACTGAGGTCAGGCTCGGCGGAGGGCGGCGGTCGCGGGTCGGCTGTTGGGGATGAGGTGCGCAGAGGTAGCGCTGCGGGTAGATGAGCTGGTCGGCTTGGTGTCGAGCTGGGCGGAGAGCTTGCTGACGAGACAGTGGTCGATGGCGACGTAGCGACGGATGTTGAGACGCTTGCCTGTGAAGTGGCTGAAGACTGTGGCGTCTGGAAGAAAAGCTCGTGCTGTTGACTTTGCCCTTGTGATGCAGCGGCTGAGACAGCCGTAGTCTGACTCTCGCTTATCTTTGCACTGACTTCCGTGGCCACAGGAGGTGACTCTGCGGTAGTCAACCCCTCAGACGGAGCCCCTCCAGCAGCAGCGCTCCAGTGTCTGCGGCGTCCGGTTGTGACCTGTCTGGTGCCCGACCCTAGAGCTCCGCCCATTACCGGGGCGCGGGATGAAGCTGCAGGACTGAACGTCGTAGTGGTGCTGGTTGAGTGTTGTGGTCCAGACAACGATGGAGAAGTAGTAGAGCATGAGCTCTGGGCTGCTGGGACATTTAGCGTAGGCTGTTGCGTCTGCTGGGTGAACTGGGAAGACGAGCTGGAGACCGGAGCGACTTCTCGTCTAGAAAGCTGAGGTGACAATGGCTGCTGCGATTGGTGAGGTCTTAATTGCTTGGTGGATTGCTCTGTCGAAGCAAGCTGTCTTTGTCCCAACTTTTCGGTTGTCGGCTCCACATCCAAAGATCCTCCACGCTTCAAGGGCCGGGGTGAGAGCTGTTCAAATAGCTGGGCGTGCTTGGCCACCGTTTGTATGACCGGGCCCATTTGAAGAGTCGGCTGAGTGGCTTGACACTGGTCAGGCTGCTTGGAGGACTGTGCGACAGACTGGGAAGACGATTGAGTGAAAGGCGCCGTTCTGACTGCTTGTTGTGTGTTCAGCGTTTCTGTATCGTGCTGCTTAGACATGTGACCTGCCGCAGTCTGTTGAGTGTCGTTGTTTAAGAATGGCTGTGGCTGGCTGGCCTTGGCCTTGGGACCGGGCATATTAGCGCCGTTTGAGGAGATTTGTTCTGAAGAAGATGCAGGATTCCATCGGTTGTTAGCTGCTCTTCGCTTTACTTTGCCGGACTCCGTATCCGATTGAGCTTCAATAAACCTTTGAGGAGTTGAAAAGAAGCTCGCTGACGTGGTAGGAAGATTTTCTGTAGAATTTCCCTTCTTCATGAAGGCGACTGGTATCGTTTTAGCGTTGGGGACATGATGTACTTGTTGCGTCCATAGTCTGTTCAATGGAGAATTTCCTTGTTGTTGATCATTCTGATTTTGATTTTCACTTCCTGTGGAGGAAACGGTCTCCGCTTTATTCGGGTTCCATCTGTCTGCCAAAGACGTCATCCTGTCAGCCGCCTGGCTGGCTGACTTGGACTTCTGCAGTCTCCCTGATTGACCGTCACTTCTTTGCTCCGTCCTTCCAGTTCCCTCTTCCGCACCTGACTCAGGAGATGTCTCCTGGGTCCTGCTCGGGCTCCGCATGGGACTGGTTTGTGTCATCGCCAGGGGAGAGCGCTCTGGGTCGGACCTGTCTGTAGTCACCGGACTGAGACTTGCTATCCGGTCCTGGAGAATGGCATCGGTCACCGGCGCCAGTCGTACACCGGTGTACTGACGGGGTGAGCGGGCTCCGTCCGAACGGTCAGATGGAGGCTCACTGAGGGGGATCTGGAGCTTCGGCAGCTCACCGTTTGCTGGAGGAGGAGGAGGAGGAGGTGGTGGTGGTGGGGGAGGAGGCGGGGGCGGAGGGGGAGAAGAGGTTTCGACAGACGGTGGAGGAGGAAACTCCAGGGTGGGAGGAGTAGATTTATCGGCAGGCTCGCATGTGGCTTCAGTGTTCTTTGTGTGTGATTCACTGTTCTGAGACACTGGAGGTGTAGCAGCGGGATCCAGTTTGCCATCAGTTACAGCTGACACTGGCAATCCTTCTGCCTTTGCCTCACATTTTTTATCGTTTGCATGATCAGGTTGTTTGTTTCTTTGTGACGATTCATCAACGATTGGCACTGCTCTACCGGCCTCCGTTGTGTATTGCTCAGCCTCCACGCTTCCACTTTTCTGGATATCACTGGTCTTCGCATCATTTCTTTCGCGCTTATTCGTGTTTTCTGTGGAGACCGGAGTAGGATCCAGGCTGATTTGGTGTACAATCACTCGCGGCTCCGGCTGCTGCTGCTGTGTCTGATGCTGCTGAAGCTGGAAAGGTAGCTGTGGCTGCGGCTGTGGGCGAGGAGTCCCACCTCCTGTCCACGAGGCGTGTCTGACGCGGCGCTGTGCAGCTATGGGATTTGTAGTCGCCGTAGCACTAGCTTGACCTGAAGGAGCCGACAAGAAGGATGTAGTCGGCATTGTGGATGTCCCAAATGCTGACGATGAGACAGAAGATGCTGTCCCCATCGATGCCGTCATGGTCATGCCGTTGTCGCCCGACGGACGGCGAGCCCGGGAGTACTGTCCACCACTGTGACCCCAGGTGTTGAACTGACCTGAGGTCGAGCCACTACCAGAACCTCCTGCACCTTGCTCAAACCGCTGCGCCAGTTTGGTGATGGAGGAGCGCCGTGGAAGTGACTGAGTCCCCGTGGGAGTCGGTGGGTCCGAGTCGCGCCTGGCACGGCCGGCAGGCTGCCACACGGGGTTCACTCCGCTGAAGGTGGGAGGTTCGGCGGCGACCTGGGGACTGATGGACGATGGAGAGGTAGCTGCTGAGCTGGTGGAGCTCCCATCGAACGACTTGAAGGTACTGGAGGTGGGTAAGGTGGCCGTGGTTTCGGTGACAGGACGGACGTTGGTGCCGGGAGTACGCTGCCATTGACCGGTAATTTGACCCGCAGAGGTTGAACTCGTGCCAAGGCTGAAGTCGGAGGTAGATTGGTCTTGTACAATCTGTTCTTTGGTGACGAATGGTGCTGCGGTCGTGTGAGATGCAACTGTTTTTGGTGTAAGATTCGCCGCAGTGTAGAAAATGTTACTAAATGACCTACCACTTGAGTTGTTCGAGTTTGATAAACTAGCTCCATTTGCTTGAGACGTCGTTGGTGTTTGTGAAGGAAGTCTCGGTTGGTATGGCTGTTGCACGTTATTTTGTTCGTCAGTTACGCCAGCATACAGGTATCGTGGCCTGGACTGAGCAAATGTCGGCCTGATCAGCGGCGAAGGATCAGCAAAAGTCTCAGGCGCCGCCAAGGGCGCTAGGGTCTCCGCAGTTCCCGTAGGGTTCGAAAAGTGTCTCTTCCTTTGCGCGATGGACGTCACACTTTTCGTTATACTGTTCAGCATCTCCTCGCTGTTCCTCATGGCAGGAGCAGCTCTCGCTCGTGACACCTGGGCCAGTACCTGAGCCGCCGAGAGTGGGTTGAGAGGCGGTGGTGGCGGGCCGGGGCGACCCCGCAGCGCCGCCAGGGGGTCCGCACCGGCGCCGCCTGGCGGCAGGCCGCCACTCATGCCCGGCAGCGCCACGCCGCGGCCTCGCAGCTGCACGGGCGGCTCGGCCAGGTACTTGTGGTGCGTCTGGCTGATCCCTGTCGACAGTCCGGGCCGCACCGGTTGGCGCTGCAGACTCTCCGGGTCGCTAAGGTTGCGGCACTTGCCGCGGCCGGCCTCAAACTGCTGTCTGATGTTGGAGACGGAGCGTCGCTCGTCTCCGCCGGGCCGGTCCAGACTGCCGGTCCGGCGCAGCGCCCCGCGGGAGGCCATCGCCGACCGCCGACTCTGGGGACAGAGACTGAACGTCAGTAATAGGTACTGCTGGTCCACGGACAACGATCAGCTGCTCTGGATTGGCTCGTTAATGGGCAGAGATGAATGTGATAGAATGGCAAGTTTTTAATTAGCTTTCATGGGTATATCAATTATGAAAATTAAATGAATCGTCCATAAATCGTCTATATTTTAGTGGACCCGAGTAATTGTAAAATTCTTAAAAGCTTAGTAACTATCAATGGAGGTCCATATCTATTAAAAATTGTGTTGGTAAAAACTGTCTGGTATATCGTCGTGTCAGTGTAAAAAGAATTAAAGAATAAAAAAAAAATACATCATTACAACAAGCTCCCTCGGTAACTCGAGGCAAAACATAATTCGGCGCAGCATCCCGATACGCAGTTACCCGATGGTCAAGCGTGTTCAGTGCTGTGAAACGTAAAATAGCTAAGTCTATGGTAGCAAGTTTGCTTGTACGCATATTCCATCCCGGAGGGCCCCACTAACTTGCCGAGAACATATCACATGCCCCCATGAATCGGGTATGAAGTTCGACTGTGTATTTTGCCAGAGATGTGCATCAACTTCCATGTGCGCACTTTGCGAGGCCTGAAGAAAGACGCATTCATTTCACACTACATTGCTCATGAATGCACACATCAGTGTTTCTTTTCGTATATTTCAACTCATGGGACGATGGTCCAAAATGTATGTAAATCGGTGGTAAAATCAAGACAGATGAAAGGTAAATATTAGAAGGGGGTAGGCGTTTAGTTATAATCCGACGAAATAGGCTATTCTTCAGCTAATTTACGTCTGAAGCGGTTAGAGTTTTAAGTAAACATCAGTTAATAGGTTCGAGAGGTTAATAAAACACATATGCAGCTTTATAGACCCGGTAGCTTTGTCCGCGGTCGCTGTTCCTCCTACACATTTACAACTTGCGGCGATCGGCACGGCGTTGTGCTGGCTCATCCCGTTCCGGCTCACGGGTCCATTTCTCATGTCTGCAGGCTGGGGCGGTACAAACTTCATCTGAAATGTCACTAGACGGGCGCCGCCGCGTCTCTGTCGCCTACGCTCCGCCATATCTCAGCGAGTCGTCCGCTGCCCCGGGGTAAACTCGCAGTGATGTAGCGGAGAGCCGGGCGGAGCGATGTGACAGGAAGAGGCTACTATCAAACATGGCACTCGAGGGGATCGATATACGGTACTAGAAACGCTTCCGAGTTTTGTGATGATGAGTGTACGCTTGTGGAGAACGGTTCTTGAATCATCATTCAGGGTCCCCGGACTGCAGAGTGCCAGAGGTCATGGTCACCTTTTGCGCCTAGACATTAGGGTCATGTTCAACATTTGGTGGACTCGATTGGGTGCTATGAAACTATGTAAAGGGACTCCCGAAGAAAGTAATTCGTGACTCATTACCTTGCCCGCATGAACAAATCAATATTCGTGTTATCATGTTTGGGGCGATATCTACAATCACGCTAATATTTCCGTGCTGTCGTGACCTGCACGCACCAATTGCTCTCTTTAATCACGCCGACCGCTCTGTCCGTGGCAGCCACATCGTCATTCATGACTGCCACGCAGAAACTGCCCGTCTGCTGGCCCACATTACCACAGACAATGGCCCGGCCTGCCGCCGTATTATCACAGACAACACACGCACTGCGCCGCCACAGCCCGGAGGAGGCCAGGGCAGAACGACGGAGGAGGCAGGGAGGAGAGGGCAGGAGAGCGGTGGGGAGAGAGGTGGGAGTGGGCAGAGAGCAGGAGAGTGGTAGAGAGAGTATTGGGAGTGGGGGAAACCGGAGGAGATCGATGGAAGAGGGGGTTTAGAAATGTTGTCGTAAGTGTGGTGAGAAAGAGAAAATGGGAAGAGCGTGTGGGAAGGACAAGAGTCACGATTTAAAAAGAGCATGTTGTTGAGAGAATGATGAGTGAAATGATGATGATGAAGACAGTCTGACAAGGGGAAAAGGTTCATGGGAAAGAGTGCCGTATTAATTGACAGATGTGAGAAACAGTCCTAGAAATGAGGGGGTTATAAATATTTGAGCTGGAAGTAAGTGGTAAAAACGTAAGATGGATAGTGCAGTGGAAGACTGCAAAGAGGGAGACGAGGAGCAGAGCGGGTTGTGATAGTGATACTGGGAGAATGCTACGGTCAAGCGGTTTGGGTGCACGGGGTAGCCTGCTCCCCTATGGAGAATGGGAGCAGACTACCCCGTGCGAAGACTGAGTATCGGTCGAAGCTGAGCAGAGACCTTTAACGAGTTGTTCGACCTCACTGTCGGACCGATTATCGGACACTCCCCAGTGAGCAGTGACCACCTCCTCCTCCCCTCTCCCCACTCGTCTGTCGATCCGCGGAACGTCGCCGGAACGGCCATCGTCGAGGGCGACGCTCGGTGCGTCAGAGGCGTCGCGACCGACGGAGGGGACGGGTGGTGCCGAGAAATGCGGTCAGTTGTGCCGAGAAATGCGCTGAACCGTGACGGGTTGGCAGAGGCCGGGCTCGATGACGGTGCTGAGTCAGAGGCGTTCTCGCTCGCTGCGGTGACTCACAAGTGGAGACTGTAGGTGGTTCTTCCCGTAGCTAAATTAGTGGTTTAAGTGTGAGAGAAAGGATGTCCAGTGATCTTGATTGGTTGGAGAGGCACGCATTAAATGCAGCAAACTACTTAATTTGATTATCTGGGTCACAAATGTCGGTGGAGTCGGGATCACAGCGCCAATCACAGGCCTAGCAGAGCAATGTCTCCGAACCCCATGTTTTTTTAAGCGTATCGTATTTACCAAAGCGGCGTGGCGTTTGCTTACCTATCTCATACTGGCTCCATTTATAAAGTTTTTACTCATTGTGTGCGCATGGTGTATATACCTATACAATATTGTAGGTACGCATACCTGCCTGCTCTCGCTTTGCGAATATCTCGTCGCCAAATGCTTTGATGCCATCAATTTGTTTCGATGCTTGTTTTGGTGCCGGATGCGACATGCGAGTAACATGATACAAATCGTGTTTTCTGTTTGGAACTCTTTTTCGGAGAAGACGATATTGTGAATGATCACAAGACACCACAGCTTGCGGCAGCCGCCGCTACATCAACCTAGCTTCAGTAAACCCTGCCGAAGCTCTCATCGGAAACAATCGTATTCATATTGACCAAGGTCCGGCGGGGGTAAGATGCCGACCACTGGCGCCGAAAAGTGCTGGCAGTGCTCCCACCTGTCATAGATGCCCCTCGGACACCCTCAGCCGCCTGTCAGTCTGACAGACATGCCGGAGTCGGCCAGGAGTATGACCGGAGAGTGACAGAAATAGTCAGCGGGGGTGGCCGACGGGAGGTGGGAGGAACAGAGGAGCCAAGGAGAGGGGAGTGTGAAAACCTTGCCACCTGTGGTAGCAACCATGCGACTGAATCATTGGCGCCAAAGAGCAGGATGGTATTTCTTTGTTGCTATCGACACCCTACTGGATTGACCATTCAAGCGAATTCCGAATTTAGCAGCTTAAGCTACTTTTATGACCTTCGAATTCTACTTTCAAGTCTATCAATGATTGATTTGGACCTTATCTCCAAGCTCCTCTACAATACGCCGGTCATCGCGCGAGCCGGTAGGTCTATCGTATCATCAACGAGAGTCCTAAGTCCTATCTCGCGGTTGTTCTTCACACTTCTAAAGAATTTCTCCTGAAAGCTAGCACAAAAGACTTTCAAAGTACTCAGTGACCGGATTCTGTCTGCCCTGTAGAACGAGCACCGTCAGCGCTCTGTTGGCAGCCGAATCACGTGCCTTAGATGACGGAGCGCCACCCCTGGACACATCCGAGACGCCTTTCATCTCCAGTGGTCTGCTGAATGAGATGTGACACTCATGCCGATTATAGACTGTGGTCACAAACCAGCAACTGGACCGAGGGATGTCGTTTTTTTTCCGTGGGATGTCGCGTTATTCTTATAGAATATACTGTTTGATGTTTAGCCGTCGTCGCAAGCTCCACGTTTTCATGATCGCATTCGAATAGTGGATGTCTTTCAGATCGCCACATTAATACCTACCTTTTGTCTTCTTCTTTTGCGCATTTTTTGTGTCAAAGTCTGTTGTGATACGGGCCCGTACCCCCCTCCGTTTGTGATACGGGCCCGTCCACGTGTTCGTCCCGTTTTCGGTCGCGGTCGCCGGTCGTTTGTCCGCCGCCGCCGCCCCGGGTCAGGCCGCGGGCGGTCGGCAGCGTGGTTGATGTCGGGTGTTTTCGTCTGTTCCGCCGGCCAGTCGGTTTTGGGCGGCGGAACTGGGTGTGTCTCTTGAAGTGGTCAAGTCCCGTTACAATATAGAGCCAAGCCAGAGAACTGGAGTGTCACGGCGGAGGTCGGCAGAGCAGCGAGTGCTGAGGATACAACAAATTGGCGACGAGGGACGTGGTATACCCCATTTTCTGTTTTTATTGTTGTATGCCTTTGCATGGTCTGACTCAAGTGATTGTCGATAAATCAAGTTTGCTATAGCAAGTGCAATGTATTGATGTTTACTGTTGCCTGCCATTCAAGTAAAGTCCGTTGAAGCCAGGAGTAATTTTATCGACATGTCTTCTCTGCCTGTGCCGCCACCATATCAGCCCGGAGAAAATTTTGATCGTTGGTTGCGCGGTGTGGAGTATTATATGATTGCATCTGGCATTACTTCTAATCAAAGAAAAAGTGCCACTGTTCTCACCTTTCTCGGACTTGAAATTCAAGACGTTGTTCGCACATTGCCGCAGCCTCCGGAACTGGATGACGCCGCCACAGAGTACCAAGTCCTCACCGCCAAGCTTCAGGCGTACTACCAGCCACGAGTCAACGCGACGTATGAGAGGTCTGTTCTTCATGACATCTACAGAAAAGACGGTGAGTCATTCGAGGCATTTGTCACCCGTCTCCGTCTTCAGGCAGACAGATGCCAGTTTGACTATGTTCTGTTGGAGCAAACTGTTCTTCAGTGTGCTGTAGCTCACGCCAGGTCCACTGAGCTGCAGAGGAAATTTTTTGATAAACCTGACTTGACTCTGGCACAAGCCCTCGAAATAGCTCGTCACTTTGAAACCACTCGCTCTCAGCTAGAGGATTTGAACCGGTCGACTGCAGCTGTACAGTATGTGACCGCGCCGTGCCATCGCTGTCTCTCCACGACTCATGATGCTTCGGCATGTCCGTATCGCACACGAGAATGTTTCGCTTGTCACCGTGTGGGCCATTCGCGTGCTGCATGCCCCCAGCGAGCCCGTCAAGCCGAGCCAAGCCGGAGGAGAGGACAGTCTCGAGCGCCGTCAGCTTCAGCATCGTCTCCAGCATCGCGACCTCTCCAGGGGACAGCACAGTCAGGAAACCAGTCCTGCTCTCGCTGTCTCAGCCGCCGTCATGGTCAGGACGTCTGCCCGTTCCGTGACCAGATCTGTTACAGATGCCAGAGGCCGGGTCACACGCGTGTCGCCTGCCAGAACCGCCCAGCTCAGAGCAGCCAGCGCCCGGCTCAGCCTCAGCCCGCCGCCAGCCGACCGTCGCGCCAGCGCCGCGCCCATTACGTCTCTGGTAGCAGCCCTCCCGCCACAGAGGTGTCTGCTGATCTTCTGTTCACGGTGAGGTCATCTGGATCCGTTCAACCACTGCATGTTGAAGTGTCCCTGAACGGTAGCCCCGTTACAATGGAGGTGGACACTGGTGCCAGCTGTTCCATGATGAGCCGTGCAGTGTTTGAGAAAGCGTTTCTCCAGTCGGTCCCAGATCTAGCGCCCTACCGTCGCCGTCTGTACACCTACACAGGTGAAGAGGTCCCTGTAGCTGGTGTAGCTCAAGTTGTTGTCGCCTATCGTGACCAGTCAGCCCGTCTGCCCCTCATCATTGTTGACAATGACGGTCCTACCTTGATGGGTCGGGACTGGTTGGCCACGATCAGGCTGGACTGGCCAGCACTGTTTGGCGGCGCCGCACGTGTTGACTATGTTGCAGTCCCTGGCCTGGATCTGGAGAACGAGCTACGGAAGCTCGTGCCGACGTTCCCGGAGCTGTTCAGCCCTGGTCTCGGCAAGTACACGCCCAGACAAGTATCGCTGCAGGTGGACGACAGCAAGCCGCGCTTCTACAAGCACCGCCCACCACCTTTGGCTCTGAAAGGTCAGATTGAGGAGGAGTTAGAAAGGCAAGTCAAGTTGGGCATCCTCGAACCTGTCACCACATCCCAGTGGGCCGCGCCCATTGTTCCGGTTAAGAAGAGGGATGGGTCCATCAGGCTGTGCGGCAGCTACGACCTGACTGTAAATGTCGCTTCTGCCCTGGAAACGTATCCGTTGCCTCGGGTGGAGGAGTTGTTTGCTGTGCTGTCTGGTGGTGCAAAGTTTACCAAAATTGATCTCAAGGAGGCATACTTGCAGCTCGAATTGGATGAGCAGAGCCGCAAGTTCACCACGGTCAGTACGCACAAAGGTCTGTTCCAGGCTACGCGGCTGGTCTTCGGAATCAAGTCCGCGGTAGCCGTGTTCCAGAGGGAGATGGAGAACCTGCTGGCCGGCATTCCGCATACCGCCATCTACCTGGACGACATCTGCGTAACCGGACGCACTCCCGCAGAGCATCTTGCGAACGTCCGTGAGGTTCTGAGACGTCTCGCCGCTGCTGGTCTCAAGATCAACGCTGAGAAAACGGTCTGGGTAGCAGACGAGGTGCAGTATCTGGGCCACCGGATCACAGCCGCCGGCATCAGACCGTCCGCTGAGAAGGTACGTGCCGTCTCGGAAGCCCGAGAACCAGCGTCCCTGCAGGAGCTGCGCGCATTCCTGGGTCTGGTGCAGTATTATAGCCGCTTCCTTCCCCGCCTGTCTACTGTCGCCGCACCGATGTATGAGCTAGAGAAGAAAGATGTGAAATGGGCTTGGGGAGAGAGGCAAAAGGTTTCGTTTCAGGAGACGAAGGACCTGCTCGCTGTCGCTCCAGTGCTGGTGCACTACCAGCAAGACAAGCCGCTCGTCCTCACGGCAGATGCCAGCCCGTACGGAGTAGCCGCCGTGCTCAGCCATCCGGATCCGCAGACTGGTGCGGACCAGCCCATCGCCTTCGCGAGCCGCAGTCTGACGCCAGCCGAGCGCAACTACAGCCAGCTCGACCGTGAGGCGCTCGCGATCATCTTCGGGGTGAGCAAGTATCATCAGTATGTATATGGTCGGAAGTTTGTGATTAAGACTGACCATAAGCCGCTGTTGGGCCTGCTAGCACCTGGTAAATGTCTGCCAATGGTTGTCTCGCCCAGGGTGTTACGATGGAAGCTCACGCTGACTGGGTATGACTTCGACCTGCAGTTTGTACCGGGTCGAGAGATCGCCAACGCGGATGGGCTCAGTCGCCTGCCGCTTCCAGACACGGATGGAGAGTTTCCCGTTCCGGCCGACGTCGTGAACCTGATGGAGGAGATGTCCCACCTGGTGACTGCTCAGCAGCTCGCCATCGCCACCCGCCGCGATCCGGTGCTGTCAGCCGTCTACCGGTACGTTCAGAATGGCTGGCCAGAGTCACCGCCGGATGCAGAGCTGTCCCACTACTTCCGCAGAAGAAGTGAGTTAAGTCTAGAGGCGGGGTGCGTGATGTGGGGTTGCCGTGTGCTCATCCCACCCTCTCTGAGAGCCAGACTGATGTTGATGCTTCATGACGGTCACCCGGGCACCTCGGCTATGAAACGTGTGTCGCGAGCCTGTGTGTGGTGGCCTGGGCTAGACAGCGAGATTGAACAGCTAGTCAAGTCATGTCAGCAGTGTCAAGTTCACAGGAGCGTCCCAAATGTGCCCGCCTCACCGTGGTTGTTTCCCAGCAGGCCCTGGCAGCGTCTGCATATAGACTACGCGGGTCCGATGGAGGGCGGTCACTGGCTGCTGATCATAGTCGACAGCTACTCCAAGTGGGTCGACGTGCACATCACCACGTCGACGTCGGCGGCAGTGACGATCGACAGACTCCGCCAGACGTTCGCCTGCCACGGCCTGCCACTGGTGCTCGTGTCGGACAACGCCACTGCCTTCGCGTCGTCAGAGTTTAGTGCCTTCTTGAAAGGTAATGGCATTAAGCATTTGTTCAGCCCTCCCCGGCACCCATCATCTAATGGTCAGGCTGAAGCGATGGTCAAAGTTGTGAAAAATGCGCTTCGGAATAGGACCGGCTCTCTGCAAACACGCCTGCACCGTTTCCTGTTGTCGTACCGTACGTCCCCGCACTCGTCAACGGGTCGGTCACCAGCCGAATTGTTGTTCGGTCGCCCACTGCGTACCCGCTTAGATGTCTGCAAGCCGAGCCTGCGTGAAACTGTTGAGCTCAAACAGCACGCGTGGAAGAACGCGCGTGACTCGCACTGCACAGACCGGCAGTTCATGGTTGGTGATCCTGTGTATGTATGTTTGATTCCAGGCCCCGGCGCCCCATGGGTGCCAGGCGTCGTCACCGCTGCTGGCGGACAGATCTGCACCGTTCAACTGGCCGATGGACGGATCTTCACGCGCCACCGGGACCACGTCCGGCCTCGCGTGTGCGCGCTGCCGTCCCTCGTGCCGGGTCAGGCCGACCCGGCACAGCCTGTTCCGGAGACTACCACGCCGGCTCACTCTGCTCGCGCACCGAGCGCGCTGGAGGCGCTCTGTGCTGGCGCGCCGGCGGCACAGGACGCGTCCTCTCCGGCGACAGCTACATCGGAGGTGCACCCCGCTCTGCTGCCCGAGTCGGTGGCAGCTGCGCCGGCTCCTCCGGGGGTGCCCTCTGGGTCAGCACCTGTCGTCCCGCCTGGGGGTGCTGTCGGGACCCGTCGTTCCACGCGCGTGCGTCGGGCGCCCTCGCGTTACAGCGCGTCGTGATTGCTGACTTGTGTTCTAAAGGTGGAGGATTGTTGTGATACGGGCCCGTACCCCCCTCCGTTTGTGATACGGGCCCGTCCACGTGTTCGTCCCGTTTTCGGTCGCGGTCGCCGGTCGCTTGTCCGCCGCCGCCGCCCCGGGTCAGGCCGCGGGCGGTCGGCAGCGTGGTTGATGTCGGGTGTTTTCGTCTGTTCCGCCGGCCAGTCGGTTTTGGGCGGCGGAACTGGGTGTGTCTCTTGAAGTGGTCAAGTCCCGTTACAATATAGAGCCAAGCCAGAGAACTGGAGTGTCACGGCGGAGGTCGGCAGAGCAGCGAGTGCTGAGGATACAACAAAGTCAATTCTGTATCCATTGCCATAAAAGGAAGTCTTGCAGGTTACATTTGTCAACAGCTCTGACTCTTCATCAGACTCAGCGTGTGATTTAGAAAAAAAAGTTCTCGCTGAAACAAGGTTGTTCTTTCGACGAAATCCTATCCAAACTGACAGACACCAAGCGAACCGGCATACGTGAGTCAGAGTAGCTTGCCATGCATACCGTCACCCCTCGTACGTGCACATTCCACGCACGCATTGTCCCAGTGTCACTGAACAAGTGTCAGACGTCACAGAGCCAGGGTCGTATGTGTGACGAGACCACCACTGGGTGTCATATTTCGGGGCGCCGCCGCCCGGCCTGAGCAGGTGCGGGTATTTTCGCGGACCCGCCGGCGCCCAATTATGCGCGACTCGCTCGGCACGCGCCGATTCCCGGAAGCGTCTCCGCGTCGAACTCGACGCAGGATAACGACTCCGGGCGGCGGCGACGACGAACGACTCAATCGACAGAGGGCCGACGGACCGGCCCGGCGACCGATGGCGGCGCCCTGGGCGACGGCGGCGGATTGTTGACAGGCCAGAGCTGATGCAAAACACCGGCCTCGGATGATGAGGGTGCTGGGCGGGAGGCGCGGGGGGGGGGGGTGAAGGTGCTGAGCGGAAGGGAGCGCTCGCTCCAAAGGTCTGCCCGATTTGGTGCGTTAGACACAGCTCAGCCTGCCCGGGTGTGAACGGATGAAAGCAAACACGCCTCGCCGTGCCAGGTAGTAAAAAAGAGCGGGCCCTTCAGAGAAGAGAGGCTAGAATGCGCCGAAGAAATGAAAAGAAATGGGACACGCTGCTTTGCTAACAGAACAGCCACGAATATTGAAATATATTCAATGCCATAACAATGTTAATTTGTGCTAAATGAAACCGGGCTCACCAAAATTGTTTATACGGTACTTACCTCCTGTCTCACTGCCCATATCCACTTCCCACAATGGCCGTAACACGCCTACATACAGCCCCTCCCCGGCCCACCCGCCCTTGTCAGGGACCGGACGGCACACAATGCCACCATTCGTCACCTTGGGCTCCTCCCTCCCACTCCGAACGGCCATTTACTGCGTGCCTCGCACATCCGACATGGCACTGTACAGACAGCGTTTGGAACGGAGCCACGTGACATTTGTTAACGCTCGGTAACAATACCACGTGACATTTATTAACGCTCGGTAACGAGATCACGTGTCATTTGGTACCAATAAGCATCAGGTCACGTGATATTAACTGCAAATGACCCGAACAGGGGGGAGGGGGTGATGCAACCCCTCCGCTAAGGTTTTTCGCGAATAACTCGCGTAAAAAGCGGCCGATCGCGACGAAACTTTCAGTACCCTCGCATTGATCAATTTTAAACCTACCCTGAAAATTCCATGACCCTGACCCAAATGAACTTTGACCCGTGACCTACTTTCCAAGACCATGTTTGGCCGGAATCGCGATTCGGCGTATGTCAGCTCGCATTAGCCGCGCGTTTGCAAGCTTTTCGTGGTCTCAAACGTTCAAGTCATTGACCTTTGGTGACCTCGGTTCACTTTTTCGAGTTTTACATGTTTCTAGAGGCTAGTGTTTGGAACTGATTTCGAATTTAGCAACCATTTGAACATTTACGAAGTAGTTTTGGTTACGAAGCTGTCAGAGGCGGTTGACACGTATTACGAATACCCGTCACGGCCCCTACCGGTTGACCTCACCTGACCTGACCCGACCTGGTCTAAATGCTTAAAGACATCATCTCTGATCAAAACTAACACGATATTCATGATCAGCACCCCGGAAAACCTCATAGCAGCCACACTTTACGACTTTCTAACAGGTCCCGATTTTCCCGATTTTCGGGTCATTGACCTGACCTGGAAGGTCATCCGATGACCTAGGACCTTAAAATTGGATATCATCGGCTTCCGCTCGTGACGGGCAACACGCTCGCTTTTTTTTCGCGAAGCTCTAGCTCGATCAGGGGCTAAACGCGAGGGGGTCGTACCCCCCCCCCCCGCCCCCCTTGTGCCGTCGAAGGACGCAAAATGGCCTGTGCCGGCGAGGGTTAATACTTAATAGGCACATATTAACTATAGGTGAATTGGCAGGTTGATAGGGCATTCAATGATCTGATGAGGAAATGATTGAAATGGAAAGGTTACATAGGTAGCCAAGAAATATTTCAAACTCGGTGTCTAATTTTTATGGTTTAGTTTTCTCGTAATTGAAGGTGAATTGCGCCATAAATGATCCATAATTTTCGAGCAAAGATAAACAACATTTACGAGGTCCCATAGCTTGTACCTATCGATCGGAAAAGTCAATTATTGAACATAAAAAGTCGTGAACATTTTTTTTTTAAGAAGCAATCGCTATCAAACTCTATGAAAGAGAAAACGCCGAAGTAAAAACAACGATATTGTGTCGGCGCAATAGCCGTTTTCACGACAGCCATTTGGTACATATTTGATACAGATTAGGTGCAGATTTGGTTAAATATATTTGACCAAACAAACTGAACCTTATAAGGTTCAGTTTGTTTCTTAAAAATTATCAGTTTTGGCTGCACAGATGCTTAAATATCTCAACAATCGGACATTATTTTCGATTTAAACACCGAAATGAATTCATGATACGAATATATTTATTTCTAACAGGTCCCGATATATTCGTATAAATATTCGTATAAATATACGAATGGATATATTCGTATTTTCGTATTGTGATGTCATACCACAACATTTATTGTAAAAGGGATTTAGTGCATATTTGGTCAAATTAGGTGGATTCGCCGGATAGCCCGTCGTGAAAACGGTTAATATCAATTTATTTCCAACAGCGGAATGCCCGTGCAGCAGTTCAACCACAAATCTGCCCTGAGCTGCTGAACAGTTAACCAGAGCTGCTCCCTCGGATCCACTTGTTAGTCTCAGAGGGAGACTGGTCAGGGTCGGAAATCGCTCTCCATATGGCGACAAGTGATTTAGTAGAGGTCGTAACTGTGGGCGAAATGTGGCCGAGGTCGAATGACGTCACATGTACGTCATCAGGTCACTCAACCACGGTGGGGAAAAGCTGATGAAATAAGCCTTGGGGATTGTCGGTTTAGAAAAAAGGCGACAGATTGATGAAGCCATATGGCTGACGAGCAACTGTTGGTGACAAGTTAGCTGATGCTATTAAATTTGATAATGCGGATTTTTTACAAGGAGTTTCAGATGCCCTTTTCAGTCATGAGGTAGGCCTGTGTGTAGGATAAAGATATTGTTTGAGAGATATATGATAAACATGTGATGTTGCCCTAAAATTGCGTGCATTTTCAATTAAGCCTTAGGGGAAGGTGGGGTAAGACGGACCAGCTAAGGTTTGAGGCCGCATATCTTGCTACACTGCTCTTGTAATTCATATTATTTATAGTCTTCGGAATGCTCAATCCTTCCTCTGTTGATATGTGTAAAGACTAAATTTCAAATTAAATACATCTAGGTGGTGGATGCTCTTAAAGAGGGACATGTCAAAAACTGAGACAAGAAAAAAAGTGGGGTAAGACGGACCACCCGGCAGTGCCTGCTATCCGTTCATGTGTGGTTACACTTCTGCTCTGTACTCTTGTAAGAAAAAGTAACCAGAATGGTAAAATAACAAAATGAGCCTTTATTCTTTACTCATGTGTGATGGAAGTGCAGCTAAAAGCTGGGAACATGTGTGTTGATTGTCGTTTGGCATGAATGCATGCTAACTGAGCACTTGCATGCATGGCTCACATGCAACAAAGACTCCTTCCTGAAAAATTAGCTTACTTAAACTTGTGTCAATGTTTTGGAAAAAGAACTTTCCATATCTGCATATGGTACCTACAATGGACCACCACAGGGTAAGATGGACCACAGTGGTCCGTCTTGCCCCAAATCTAAATTCTGTCATTATCATGACGTATATGTCAAATAGCCCAGCATTGCAAAACCTTGCCTTTCCTAAAGTGTGACTATAATTAAGTTTATAACTTTGTTCTTCACAGTTAAGTGCAAAATAGAAACTAATCATGCAAGAAAGGCGCCGTAATTGAATCACCCGTAAACCTCTTATATTAGATCGGTTTGACGAAAAACAACATTTTTCTCAATAACTCAAAAGCTATGCATCCTAGCAGCATGAGCTCAAGGTGGCCATTGTTACGAAGGAAAGCAAACATAGTGAGTGCATAAAGCAGTAGATACCAGCAGCGGTTCAGCCGGGAGGGCTGGTGGTCCGTCTTGCCCCGCTGGGCCGTCTTACCCCACCTTCCCCTATGTCTTCCCTTCTTTCCCTTATGTCTCTGTTCACTAAAAGTTTTGGAAAAGATTTTCAAGAAATCCTTTGCGAAGAAAATCTCCTTATTTCATTTTTTTCTATTTTCGTCTTGAAAAAAGAAATTAACTGGGTGCCATTTTTTGCCATAACCACCTTTTTCAATCATCACTCGTAGTGAACTTACTCGGATTGTTCGGCGGGCAGGCAGACAAGTCTTCGACAGCCTCCACAGGACCCCAGCCACAAGCCGTCCTCCTCACATGTCACACACGCGCCTCACTCCCTCACTCTCCCCCGCCGCCGCCGCTCTCCCGACCCCTCGCGCCGCCCCGAGCCACTCGACTGAGACTGACCGGCCGCCGCTCATGCCCGGAGGCGTTTCTGCGCAGGACCTTCGACAACCCGCGGGCCGTCGCGGCGGCGGCAGTCAGGCGCGACGCCGCGGATACAGGGACTGTTGTGCGGGGTTGTGCCGGAGGGGAGAAAGCGTGACTGTGCTGAGTTGTCGGCGCCGTGAACAAGAAGAATGAGAGGTTCACGGCTGCCTGAGAGAGGTTAAGATAACACAGCTTGTGGAAACGAAACCCAATAAATGTGGTTTTAACAACAATGTTTTTAAAGTTTAAAGACAAGTGTTTTCAAACTAATTAATATTGTTTTAAATTTGTATTCTAGATAACCTCACACATGGCCAACAGTTATAGTCACGTAGTAAATTTGCTCATTAAAGGGACCCTCCCACCTTCAAAAAAGTTAATGAATTGGCATGAAAGTGATGTCCCTTGGTTCAGAAAGAGCGAAAACTAATATCTACCAAATTTCACCGAAAAATATTCACTGGTTTTCAAGATATTAGGCTTTTACTTTTGTTTACTTTTTGGGATCTCTCCTGTTACTAGCGACTTTATTTGGAAGCAATAATTTGGCAGCCTAAAAGTGCGGCAGACGTTGCGCGCAAAGCAGCGTATACCACCACGTGTTAACGATGGTTTTAGTCTAAGATTTAAAATCGTTAGATCTCCGCTGACGTCACAAATTCTAAGGGGCATTCCAATGCATTAGCCCCTTTAGAATCCGAAAACTGCAAGTTTGAAATTCCATATCTTCGAATTAAAGCATTTTTCGATGTTGTGAGTGCCCAAACCGGTATTTGCAGGCCATGGCCACCAACTTGGCTATCTCAACTCAAAACTAATGTTAAGGTGGGAGTGTCCCTTTAAACGCCTTAAAAATATGTGTTTACGGAGCGAGCGAAGCGAGCGTAGTCTTTCCTTAGATTAACGGAAATTTCTGAGTATGAGCGGCCGGCCGGCCGGCCGGCCGTGGTCACGCTTTTGCGAGGCTTATATCTCAGCAACCACTTGACCGATTTACATGCGGTAATTTTTGTAGGGTAGCTTCATTCCTTCTACCAAGTATTGGACTATTCCCGATGCATGTGGGTGACCCCTTATGCACGTGCCACGTGCAAAACGAAGAGGTGTCACTTTTGCAGTTGTTGCAATATCTCGGTAACTACTTGGCCGATTGCGCTGAAAGTTGGCATGTAGGTAGGCACCCACTAGGCAATGCATATCCATGTGCCAGAGTTGGGGTACTGCTGCACGTGCGCACGTGCAGGGGTCGATTCCAGATCTCGAGAACGGCTGGACCGATGGCGCTCGAATTTGGCACATGGTTAGGGACCGGTTAGTAGGGTGCCGTGCAAAAGTCAGTTGGGCCCATTTTGCACGTGCGCACGTGCAGGGTGCCGCTTCCAGATCTCGAGAACGGCTGGGCCGATTGTGCTCAAATTTGGCACATCGCTAGAGACCGGTTAGTAGGGTGCTGTGCACAAGTCAGCTGGAGGTACCCCCTCGAAATTTCGCACGTGCAAGGCTCACCCTCTCGCTCGCTCCGTTAGTCGCCCCAAAAGGCGTTATACTGGTTTACTGGTTGCGAAGATGTGTACCCTAGTAGTCAAGCTCAGCGTATAGCTAAAACTTAAAGCCGTTTAAGTTTATTGAAACGTTTGTCAGTATTATTGACACTCGCATTGCTTGCGCACGTTTAAAGGTAGTGTGCCAGCTTTCCTGGACCGTATGGAGTTAATGGCCCAGATAAGGAGAACCAGATTTTTAGAACTTATCCATACCTTCAAAACTCATGGAAACGTCTTAAATTCTTCAAATTTTGAGTACCCCAGTGCGAAATTCGCCCCGACGGGTTGTCGGTCGTACCCCAACCACATTTCACACCACTATGAACAATAAATGCACACACTGAAATCGCTATTACCGATATGCTCATCCAATCAAGTTTCGATAAACCCGTTCATCATCAGCTCCTGCGGTTTCGAACACGCCTGTTAGGTGGTGCGGTAGACCACGCCCAAAGCCAGGGCCCCGGTAACGTGAGGTAGCCGAGTCAGGGCAGCGTGCGCTGACCCAAGCCGGAGCCGCGCGTCCTCCCGGTGTCATGTGATAGCCCGGGGCTGCCCGCGGGGATGCGGTAGACCGCGCCCAAAGCTGCGGCCCCGGCTTGGGTCAGCGCACGCTGCCCCGACTCGGCTACCTCACGTTACCGGGGCCCTGGCTTTGGGCGCGGCTTCTGCTCATACTTTGTGGTGCGGTGGTGGTGCGTCGGGCTGCGCGCTCTGACTTCGGCCAAGAAAAATGCGTCAGCTGATCATTGTCATTTCTGCAACTTGCGTGTGGTGAAATGGGGTCATAACTTATGAGACGGCTTTTTCATATCAATTATTTTACATAAAATCATATTTCAAACCATAAATAATGTTCGACAGCCAAATAAAAGAAACAATACCAATACGGGCTTACAGTTTAAGGCTCGACATTGTGTTGTCTACGATTAGACAGCTGATAACTCATTCCCGTACGTCGTATGGTCGTAACATTATAATGACCTTTGCTTATTGTCACAAGTGCGCCGCATTCGCGATTGTTGCCGACGCCTGTTTGCAGGTGAGCCCACTACAGTTGTTATACATATCTAAAAACCGATAAACTTTTAGGCGAAAAAGGCACTATTCCAGGCCCATTTTTGATTTTTTTTTGCGATATTAGGTAAAAACAGAAGCTTCTTATCCTAGGAAAAATAAAATGGGAAATCTTTTAAAGGTGGCACGCTACCTTTAAGCCGTTTGTGATAATGGCGGCCTGCTGTTCCACCTCAGCTTGAGCTAACGACCTCTACGATGGGTTTTCGTCTCTCGGTTCACTAGACACTGCGGACTTAGTGAGGTCTTAACGAGTTGACCGACTTGTTCGCTTAAAGTTGGGCGATAAATTAATAACTTTAATTTCTGGTGCCGAGCAAGATAAACACCGCGCCACAAGAACACCCGCGGGGAGCTAGATCGTTTCAATGACGACAAGGGAGCGGGAGACTCGGAGAGAACTCGCTTTGGCACTAAAACTAAAATATGCCGAAGTTATAGGTATTGCAATGACAGTGTGGTAGTGGTAAACAAAATAAAAAACTGAAAATCAAAACAAAAGCAAAAGAAAATGTATGACGGTAGTCTAAACACGGCCTTGGGCATTAAGTTAAGTATTCTCAAATGTAATATATTTTCAGATCAATTGGGGTAAAGCTTGTACAGCTGCTAATTAAAAACGATTTGTAATAATTTTATTCAGCTATAATCTCCTAAAATGCACATTCATGCCTGAATGCTTATCTAAAGGATCTCATTACAAAGATTACACCTCCGTGGGCTTCAAAGAGACCGCACGGCGTACATTTGAATTTCGTCCAGCTCCCGCAGAAGAGCTGAGCTATTCGTCGTTCCCACGCGAAAGGATGCGTTTACGTTCATTTCACATGCATGGTGGAATATTGATTCAGAAAGAACAGGAGGCACCGAGAGCGTATGTATAAAACTACAGATATGAGTAAGCGCATATTGTTCGATGCTGAGAATTTTTCAGACTATCCTGCAGCTCATGCTTGTAATTTGAATATGCTTGTAGTATATGAATGACTCTCAGCCCTGAGCCAGTAATGAATATTCTTTGAGATAATTCACGTTTAAATCATACTAGCAGTAAGCACAAAATGCTCATAACACCAGCCTTGCTAAATGAAATTTAGCCAAAAGGTAAAAACCACCAATCCCAATCACTGATACTTATACTTGATGGCCTTGGCAATCTCTCACCGCTGCGCAAGTTGAAACCTCCGTCAGATGCTGCCGCGCCGACCCTTTGTTAATCCAGAATAATGGTTTCCGATTGTGTTCAGGCAGAGACCTTATTGGAAATCAGCCTATCGAGTCAGCGAACGGAGCGCCGGCTCGGCGAGTTCCATGTAGCCGTGGCCAGTCGGATGGAACGGAGCATGTGCCGTTTAATTCGCTCTCGACAGAGGCAGATTTCAATCCGGTGCCGTTTTCAGAACGAGACCATGGCTTTAAAGCAGCTATTGTAGGTCGTTGAAGACTGTTACGCCCTGAGTCTGCCCAGATTTCCTGCACTATTGAAATGTAATTACGCATGTTGAATAAACGTCTTTCAATCATGTGTGTAATACATAGATGAATAAGAACAAACCTATTAATGTCAAGCAATTTCATTTGTGAAATTGAATGTGTTGTACATACGCTTGGCGCATCTTGCGTGGAAGAAAACTGAACAGTCATCAGTGGTCACACTATTTATGCGTTTTCCCAATCATCCTTCGCCCAAACATTCTTCGACAGCCTAGCCTTACGAGTCAACCTCGTATTACCAGTCTAGAGCCTTTCCTCTTGGCCCTCCTGTCGCTTCCTTTCCCTGGGGTCGCCGTGCCCCACAGAAATAGCCTTCCGTCTGGTGACCGGTCGCGGAGCGCTGCGGTCATATTGGCCGCCGCGCGACGGAGCCTGCCCACTCCCGGGGCCATGTGTCATGATTAGAGGCGTGAGCACACGTTCAATGGACGGAGACTACCGTCACTGTGAGCCCGGATGGCTGATGGCAGGCGGTGGTATAGTCCAGGGAGCCGGAGTCCCAGCGGCCCGTCAGTCCGGCGGCCGGCGCACTGAGCCGGCTGAAAGCTACGAGACGATTTAATATCCGGTGGAGCCACGTGGCCTGTACCGGTGGGACCCGGCACGTGCCGCTCAGGACACGTGGTACGTGTGGTCTATAAATGTGCACCTGCGACCGGGCAGGATATGAGTAAGAAGACGAGTGGGTATTGGGTGCCTGATGTTATGAATGGTTAATCACCTTGACGAGACACCTGCATTGCACAGCTGATTTTACTATTATTGGTATATTTCCCCGTTATACGAAATGGCGAATTGTATCGAATGTTCTCGCTGATTCGCTGAGGTCCTTTTAATTCCAACACACTACTGTGCGACTGACCAACTCTAAGCCCAATGGAGTCGTGTTGGACATCATCGTGAGGGCGAACTCTGTGAAGTGGGATCCAATTAAAGAGCAGTTAAACTCGGTTCGTTAAATGCTGCCGATTGGCTGGATCTCTGTGGTGAAGCAGAATTGACTAAAGGTTGGGTCACTTGCCAAAGAACAGCTATTAGAGTTTGACTTTTCGTTGTATTAGGTACGGGTGGACTCGAATTAATTTTTTACCTAAGCATGTGTTTATCTGTTGTTTCTGTCATATCGATTAAAAGTTAAATACCTACCTATTTCTATTTGTGACATAAATTCTTATTAGGAACAGCGCGATCGCCATTTATCATTCTGCCCATATATCGCTGGACGCTGTTGGCCAGTTGAGGCAAGGACACATTTTCCCAAATATTTTCGGAATGAATGTATTTCGAAATATTTCCTTTTCCCTAGCATACGGCATCTTCCGCTGTCGACGGGGGGGGGGGGGGGGGGGCTCAGTGGCGCGGCAAGGGCGACCGTGCCGTGCGGCACAGCATAGTTTCAGGCGCCCGCCGCCAGCGCCATCTATGGAGAATTATTGGCATAACAGCGCACGCTGCTGATTGACTGTGATTTCGGGGCTCGGTGGCTGGCGCCGGATGAATTCGATGAGGTAGATGTTATTTTTCCATTCCGCCGTAAGTAATCATGTCCTCTGTACTTAATTTTGATTGACCCCATACTCGGAAAAGAGCGAATGAAACGGAATTATTCTGGCATGTTGAAACCCTCAAATATCCAAAGGCCACTGGCCAATATGTAGCGATGTGCTATGATGGGTCACAGCTGAAAATAACAATTGAAACCTTTGACCCACGCCCCAGACCCACTTTCGATCGACCCTCTTTACCCAATGCCACAGAACCTTCGCCACCGTCAAATGCTGGCTGCTGCGAGTCCTTGACATGTCCCACCGCTATCAACGCGTCCGATACGTGCACTGACCTACATGCAAGACGTTACTGACCTAGTTGGGCCGCTCCGACTGCCGACCGGCTCTGCCGTGACCTCTCCGATCGGGCACTGTCTCACCACTGGCTACCGTCCCACCCATTCATCACAGGCATGTAGGTACCCAGCCAGCGACCTCGCGGAAGCACCGATGTCGTAAGAGAGTCCCCCGAGAACCGACCGCACTGCCGTGTTATAAAACGTACACCGTTTTAGGATCAAAACCCCACAAAGTCACGAGCGTGTGCCCATGTAAAAGGATAAGATGCGTGGCCCAAAATACCGTCCTGACCAGACCCCTGGCGGTGCGTTGGATGACCTGTCCGGCCGGCCGGTCGGGCTGTCGCTGCCAACCGACATAGCTGTGCGAATACCTGTGCCGCCGGAATGCCGCCGATCCTGGCGATACGGTCGCTGTCGGAGCCGATGAGCCTGGCAGGCCTCGGCTGTCGGCTGGTCTGTCATACACGGCTCGACTGGCAGGGGTCTGTGCGGAGACAGTCGCCTGTGTAACGGGAGAGCGACTTGCTCGTCTTAGGGATATATTTGGAGGAGAATAACTATCTGACCCCTGCCGACTTTCTTGTAGTAGATAGCTTTTGATTTGGGTCATGTTTCCCATAATGATCCGTTTTTTTTGTCTTGTGTGGTATCCGCAATGACATTCGCATTATTTTTATTGCTATTTGATGAGTCGATGACTATGGCCAAACCGTAAAGAGGGCAATAGTCTCCTTCCACCGATAAAAAAGCAACGACCATGGTCGTGCTCTCTCGGCCATTAGCCGTAGGTATGCTCGGCAGGAAATGAACACCCCAGACGGGACTAAAAACAATTAGGGTGCGCGATTACTCACACGAACGGTACGAGAAAAGAAGTCGAGCCAAATCTATCGCCGGCACCCTCATAAATGTCAGGATGACCCGGTGCGACGGCGACAGAAATGTCACACGGCTCGGCCGCCAAGCCACGGGCCTGCCCGGCTGACGATCTTCGTCGGTAATGGAGCGGAGCGAGCGCTGGCAGCGTCCTCTATACCTACGGTATGCACGGCGACGGATAACAGGTGGCAGCTGTGTCGTTAACGAGAAGGCTGAGGAAAATCGGCACGGAAATAGGTTTGGCAGTGCTTGTCGGCCCGTTCGTACCCATGATTGAATGCCCTGGAGAAATCGTTCCTCAGGCTCGGAAGAGAACGCAAGCATTTTTGCGGGGGTACGAAAAACATATCGAATTGAGGGTGCTGACCGTAGGTGCTGACGCGCTGACAGCGGTCTCGTGCTGGCAGTCCGGGTGTTCCATCATGTACGCCAGCAACTGCTAGCGCTATCAGTTTCCTAGGTAACCTGGTTTTAGACCATATAGTTGAGGGTAAATTATGTTGTGTAAGTAACTTCAGGACAATTTATCAATAAAAGCCGACATGCTATAGGATCATAACACCATTTTTCGCATTTTTTTTTAAATCTGTGTAAGGCCAGCCCACTAGCTCTTTGCTGCTAATGCTATTGAACAGACAATCAATGGCTAGTTTTGGAAAACGGATAAGGATAGGAGTTTTATTGCTTTGGGATCTGGGATGACAATAAGTGCAATAAGCAAAGGAATATTCAGATTTGGGTTTGTTTATTTTGAAAGGTGCTTTCCCATGCATTTGTCTTGCATAATAGGCAAGTGCAGTGAGTAATGGGTTGGACTGAGATAGCAATACAGTGTTTTCTTTTATTTGGTGAGTATTTTGTCTTTGTGGGCTTATGTGTGCCTAACACTTAAAGGGACACTCCCACCTTAACATTAGTTTTGAGTTGAGATAGCCAAATTGGTGGCCATGGCCTGCAAATACCGGTTTGGGCACTCACAACATCGACAAATGCTTTAATTCGGAGATATGGAATTTCAAACTTGCAGTTTTCGGATTCTAAGGGGCTAGTACATTGGTATGCCCCCTTAGAATTTGTGACGTCAGCGGAGATCTAACGATTTTTAAATCTTTTACTAAAACGTTTGGTAGCACGCGGTGGTATATGCTGCTTTGCGCGCAACAAATTCCGCACTTTCAAATAAAGTCGCTAGGAACAGCGGAGATCCCAAAAAGTAAACAAAAGTAAAAGTCTAATATCTTGAAAACCGGTGAATATTTTTCGATGAAATTTGGTAGATATTCGTTTTCGCTCTTTCTGAACCGAGCGACATCACTTTCGTGCCAATTCATTAACTTTTTTGAAGGTGGGAGGGTCCCTTTAACAGCCTAAATGTTTGCTTTCAGAACGTGTTCAGGTGGTGAAGTGTATCTTCGACTGCAGTAATTATATTTTACTAGGTTGTCATAGAATGATATATGGGATACGTAAATGATAAAATGGACCTTATTATTGTTTATGTTGATGTGTTGTGAAAGCATGAAAGCACCAGAATGCTGTAAATGATAAAATGGACCTTATTATTGTTTATGTGTTGTGAAAGCATTTTATTCAACTTGAAGCAAGCTGTAATTTTCACCCAATATGTGTTTCATCTGCTGAATTTCACTTCTTTACAGTGGTCTTGAAACTGGCACACACTGATGAAGGATGGCAGGAGCCCGAGTTGACAGTCCCTTCACAATCCGAAGATGCTGAGTCAGCAGATTCAGAAAGTCCCGCCTTCCAGGCACCTGAGACACCCACCTTACGTCAGGTGCTGGAGGGCATGAAGGTAACTGGTTTGTTTTATTTTGGTTTTTGCTTTGCTACTACACAGTTATACACAGCTGCACACAACTTATCTGGCTGCATATAGGGTTATGTATCTTTGTAACCCTCTTTTTAGCTGTCATCCCCAACTTGTGTCCATGACCATGTGCCCATCTGACCCAATATCTGTTTCTGACAGTGTGCCCATGTGACCCTGCCCTTAGCTGCCGTCCCTGACTTCTGTTGGTGTCCCCTCCCCCAGCTGCCGTCCCTGACTTCTGATGGTGTCCCCTCCCCCAGCCGCCGTCCCTGACAGACGACGAGTCGGCCGCCGGCTCAGTGTGGCTGCACAGTAAGGCCGGCCCGGACATGGCCGACCTGGCCGAGGGGGAGCAGCCGCCGGCCGCCGACTCGGAGCCGCCAGAGCAGCCGGACGACACCGATCGGACGCAGGTGGGCTGGGGTATGGGACAGCGTGACTGAGGGAAGCTGCAGGTATCACAGCACAGACAGTGGAGCAGCCTACCTGGGAGCAGGAGTGACACTAACCTTACGTTCATGCACATTGACCAGTTGATGGGACTTAGTGGACTAGCATCGATGGCTTTGTGCGCAATGGGACCGGTTACTACCTACGTGTAATTTCAAACGCCGAAATTTTCTCATCGGAAATTACGCGTTTATAACGATACTTACGATGACCCCGTAGTCGGCACACTGCCGACATGAAGGCGTGTTATGACCTTACCACTGATATTCTCTTTCCTGTCGCTGTTTCAGAATGCCACCCAGACAGAGGGAGGTGAGGGAGGAGAGAGTGGGGTGGCGGCGTCCAACTCGACGGCCAAACTGTGCAACTGTGTACCGCTGGGCCGGCCCGCGGACGTGCTGGCTTTAGAGGTAGGTAACTGCTATAAGGTAGTAACGATTTACCACAATACGCATTACGGTAGTGGACGGTTTACCGCGGCGTTTGTGGATTGCTGACAGAGTGGATTTGGCATACGGTGTCAATGGACAATACCGTGCGTGTGGCAATTGAATTGTGTCTGACTGACAAGCACGGCGTAAGTGGGCAACTTTTATGATGCTGTGGGTGGCTGACACGGCGTCGGTGGGTAACTATTACGGTGCTATGGCCGTCTGACTCGATGTTTCCTTGCGTCAACTGACCTAATATCTGTCATAACACTCTGTCCTCCGTTCACAGCTGGTGAACGGCTCCGTTCTGACGGAGGCGCTGGCGGCCGACTCGACGGTACGCACCCGCAGCCAGCCGGCCATCTGTCTGCTGGTCCTGTTCTACGGTCGCAGCTGTCCGTTTTCCGCGGCGGCAGCGCCTCATCTGAACGCCCTGCCGCGCGTCTTCCCAGACCTGCGCGTGCTGGCGGTGGATGCGCTCGAAAACGGCAGGTAGGTCGAAGCGAGGGTGGGGTGGATGGTTGAAACCGAGGGAGGGGTCAGATGTTGGTGTGAAATGAAGGGTCAAAGATGATGGGGTATGATGAAAAGTGCAAGTTGAGACAGTCGGGAGTCAAAACCTGTCGCTGGGGCAATGTCAGAGATGGGGTCTGCCAGTGTTCCGAGACCGGGATCGCAAATCAACAGGGACGGATGAGTCTTGTAAAAGTCAGGTCTGCTTGACTTTGTTTCCTGGATAGGAGGAGCAACTGTATCAAGAGGTGCAGAGTCCGTCCCTGTTCGTCCCGACAGCCTATGTTACACTCGCTGACACCCCCTTACCCCTCTCCCGGCAGCCTGAACACGCGTTTCGGCATCATCGCCGTGCCCACGGTCCTCCTCTTCCACAACGGCCGGCCTGTGGCGCGGTACAACCAATCAGAACCCACGCTGGAGCGACTGGCCGAGTTCATATCGTCCCACACGCTGCTGTCGGCCGGCGGGCCGCTGGAGATCACAGACGCCGACCTGGCGGGGCCGCTACCGACTGTGGCCGAACACAGACTCGACTGGTACCTGGTGGCCGCCTGGCTGTTTATTATTGTGTGCGTGGCGTGCGCGGCCACGCGGCTGAGACTGTGGAGGAGAGCCGCGGACACGGTGAGAGCGTGGTGGTTGGAGGCGGAGCAGCACCTGCATGAGGAGTGATTGATTGGAGAGAGGGAGAGAGGAAGGGTGGGAGAGAGAGAGGGAGGGGAGAGGGAGAGAGTGACAGCACGGCCGCCCACGGTGGAGGGTTGTCGTTCGTGCGTCAGTGTCATATTGTCTGTGATTTACTCGGAGTGGGGTTGAGATATCGAGTTTACCGTGAGCCCCTGTTGATCAGTGTCCAATTGAATGACGTGTACAAATATAAGAAGTCGTAAATCTATCCCTCGTTAGTGAATAGTGGTAGGATGATATCCCCAGCAGGATGTTGTCTGGAATGGATGGTGGTTTCGCCATTTTATACCGTTAATTTACGCGAGGGGCATCCAGTGTCGCATTATACCGGCGGTATGCTCGGATACGGACTTGACGGTGAGCGGAGAGGGATAGGGGGGATCGTCATTTCCCGCCATAACTTAGGAAACTTCTTGTAACCGTCCAGGTCAGAGGCAGAGAACATACAATATAATCCACATTACTATTTCCACACAGCAGCGGCCGCCAGCAGTGGAACACTCCACCCGGCGTGCCCGCTGGAACACACCAAACACATTGAGATGACAATCGGTCGACTGGATGATCTCCAGACACGGCTATTGGTGGCTCGTAACCAACCGTCCATCGCCAGCTAGGCAGCTAGACAGTGTGAGAAAACTTCCTAAATTCGGCTACAGCACAAAACAGGTGCTCCTGGAGCTCGCCTCTCCTAAAATATCGCACGGCACTACGAAAAAAAATCAACGATCCCGATTTCACTCATACAAAAGACAATATGTCATTATTCTACCATAGTCGTCACTCTACACAGCTGCTAAAGACAACTAGACATTAAATAAATTGAGCGCTTCTTTGATACAATGAAGGACAAAAATACATCAGCATGGCTGCTACGAGTTCCGACAGAGGGCAGAATACGACCTCCGAGGGCTAATAAATAGGTGTAGTCATGATTTATGCCGACGGCTATGTCAATAGACATCCATATACATTCAGTGTTCACTGGAGTCCCCAGCGAGTGACAGTGCATCGTTATCCACAAGGGTCATCGTTACGGTAACGATAAAACGTCGTCCGCCTGGGATAGCCACTGGGTTGACTGTATAACAGGACATTTCTGAAACACCATCAGGGCTGGGGAGAGGGCAGGCAGCCTGAGCGCGCACTGGCACTCCGAGATACCGGTTGGCGTGCGTAGCTCGGGGTACGTGACATTTACCCACGGTAACTTGCAGGCTTTTCAGTGAAACACCTAGGTGATACAATCGAACAATGAACATACAAATATTCACATAGATCAGAGTGGTAGTGTTCAGCACGATCAACAAGCAACATGTCTTATTCCATCCACAGTCAGGTGCCAGGCAGATCAGGTCAAGGTTCGAAATGGCATGACTGACGACATGGCCGTATTGATCAATGATCAGCCTGACCTCTCGTCTTTCAGGTTGAAGCGGATCTGATGCCAGTCACTGTCAAAATCTCCCGTGTCCGTCGGGCCACACTCACTCCAGGTGTTTCCTGAAGCTCTCCAGCATATCCCGCAGCACGCTGTGTGAGTTGGTGGCATCGGCCAGGCTGCGATTACCTCCCCCGCTCTCCGCGCTCTCTCCCTCTGCCTGCGCCGGCGCGGCGGCACTCCGCTCACTCCAGGCGTCACTGATGGACAGCTCGGTAGGCTGAGTGTCGTCTAGGTACAGCATGTTGTCGTCCTCAGGTTCAGTCTTTACGGACGACATCCAGTCGCTGCCAGATGCTTCGGGTACGAGTCCGCTGCCAGATGCCTCAGGTACCAGTCCGCTGCCAGATGCTTCGGGTACCAGCCCGCTGCCAGATGCTTCAGGTACCAATCCACTACCGGAGGGATCCGATATAATTCCGCTGCCTGACGGCTCGGAGATCAGCCCACTATCGCCAACGACAGGTGCTGCTACAGGCTCGCCCCCTGTAGATGCTTCAGGAGCAGCTGTCTCAGAAACTTCCCCGGCAGCTTCATCGGTGGCATGTTCAACAACTGGTTCAGTGGCTTCTCCAGCTGTCTCAGTGGCACTCCTAGTGGATAACCCTGAGACTCCCGCGGCAGGTGTCTCAGTGCCATCAGGGGCACCCAGGGCAGCCAACCCCGGCACACCCCTGCCTGTAAACCCAGCGGTGGCAGCAGGGGGCGTCAGTGGAGCACTCCCGCAGACGTGTCCACCCACAGTATCCAACGGTACGAATTGGTTACAGTGGCGGCACCGGTGTCTACCGTGAGCACGGCTCAAGTGCTCCACCATCTCCGCACTGTAAACCGCCTGCTCGCAAAACGCACACTGTCGGCGAGCGAAGCCGTGGAGGGAGAGTCCGACAAACCCGTCCAGTGCGGGTACCTCTCGCAGTAGCTCGGCCCGGTTGTTGCGACTGATGGTCTTCTGTCGGAACTCACTGCAGAAGCTGGGCAGCGCGCCGGCCGGTACCTGCGGCTGTGAATGCATTGCGAATATGCAGGCGGTGTGGTTGAGAGGCCTGCTGGGGCGCGGCCCGAGCGCGGTGCCACACGCCCGACACACGTTATCCCGCCGGTGTTTGTGAGCGTGTCGGTAGTGATCGGAGAGGTGTGCCGGCAGTGTCGGTTCGGTACAGAACGGACAGAACTGGCCCGGCCGGCGGCTGTCCGGGGTGGCCGTGAACAGCTGCCGGTAGGGTACGCCGCGGTGGGTGGTCACCATCAGTGGATCCATGGTGGTGAGCGGTAGGTACGGTATAGGCGCGTCCGCCGTCAGCATCTGCTTCAACAGGCCCGGCGGCGGCAGGTCTGCTGACGGAGGCGGGGGAGGCGGGCCCAGCGGCGCATCACCGGCCGGCCGAGGGGAGCGGTACCCGCGACCCCTGCCCCGACCTCGACCGCGACCCCTTCGCAGCATTGGCGGCGGCTGCGGCGGCGAGGGTACCCACTCGTCGTCGACTGGCCGTTTGCCGGCGCGGCCGGGCGGCGGCGGGCTCTCGGAGTCGGAGGAGTCAGTGCTGGAGGCGCCGCCGCTCTCCGGAGCAGGGGCCACCAGCGTGATACTGACCGAGCTCTCCGGCTCGTCCGGCAGCTCTGCGGGCAGACACAGCGGTCAGGAACGCCGATCAGCGCCACGGCTCAGGTCAAGGCGCGGGGGATGCGCCGCAAAGGTAAGGCACGGAAGGCAGCACTGCTGACGAGGTCACGGCTTATGAATGCCCATGCCCCCCCCCCCCCCGCATTAGAACGGCTTACAGTCACACCTCGCCAATGTAAAATAATGTGCGCCTTAATCCACTTCAGTCGCAGGGCCTTTATAGTCTAATTCGATTTTTTTAGGGAGCTGTCATTTAACAACGGAGTTGCATCTTATCAACAGTCAGTTTCCGCACAACTAATGCGTAGTACCCATTGATACCAGCAATGATAACGAACCAGTTTCTGTCTGTTGGCCAATCTTTACGATTGTTTCAACGCGTTTGCTTCTAGTTGCAGCAAAGCTCGCGATCGGTACCTGTTACTGGTTTGACCGGGACATGTCCTGCCGCCCAAACTTCATTAATTTAAAGTTCAGATACGACTGCTCATGGGAAATAGTCACTAAGCCCATAAGTTAAGCGGACCTAGCGTTTTCTTAACATGAGTTTTCGTGAGACTCGTTTTATGCTTCCGCTGTTCTGCTATCTCTGCCCTCTCCCCCGTTCCCTCCTCCCGGCCACGAATCATGTCGCTGGTGAGAGCACTTGCGGCTTTTCCATCCGTTCGACTATGTCGGTCATTTCATTTAGCTTTGTCTTCAGGTAGCCAGATATAATCATTCGCAAACTGTCAGGTGGCCGATCGACCCGTGCCTTATATCCCAACCCTAACGGATCCGTTATATATCCCAACCCTCAGGATTTCCGTTAGACAGCGTGATGAAAAGCGACGACTTTGGGATTCGTTTATTTATTTTTCACACGCACATCGGACATAAATACATTCGTGCAGCGTAGGCCTGGGCCCAGTTCGTCCTACACGGTATACATGATCGACTGACGGCTCCCCTCTACCACATACACGGAACTAAATCGTGCCACCCGGCGCGCGCGGTGAATACCAATGTACAACGTTCATACAGCTGACAGCAGGACGTCTGGCTCGACCCGAGCCACGACCTCAGCTGCTCGGGTAAATAATCGCGAGGGGATAGCAGGGACCCGCCACGAAAAGACCTACATAGCTCAACTTCCATTCACACTCACTAGTATTTCCGTCAAAAATTATAAGGATACATTGTATGCGATTTTCGCAAGTTTTACAGGCCAACCATGCAGGTGCCAGAGCTCCCAATAGGCCGCACAGCGCACCACTGAAAGTCGTATCAGAAAGTCGCCCCTACCGGAGGGCGGCCATGAGTCACACCGGCCCCGCCGCTGTTCGGCACACCCTGAGTTCCAGGCCCGCCGGCCCGGGTCACCCCGTTTGCTCGTCTCCGACCAGTGCTTCCAGTCCCTCAGGCGTTGAGCCGGCGCCCTAGGCGGCTTCTTGTTCGTCACCCTGCTCCTCGGCTTCAGCGAGCAAGTCGGGATGGTCGGCAGGCTCGTCCGCCTCTGCTAGTAGATCGGGGTGATCAGCGGGCTCATCCGCTTCCGCCAGCAGATCCGGATGATCCGCTGGTTCATCCGCCTCGGCTAGCAAATCCGGATGATCGGCGGGCTCATCCGCCTCAGCCAGCAAGTCGGGATGGTCCGCCGGCTCATCAGCCTCCTCCAGTAGGTCAGGGTGGTCGGCGGGCTCGTCTGTTTCATCCAGCAGGTCTGGGTGGTCGGCCGGACTGCCACCCATACCCAGCGGGTCCTCAGTCGGTTCCTCTCCAGCCGCGAGCACGTCAGGATGTTCAGCCGGCTCGTCTTCCTCCAGGTCATCACCAACACCGATCGGGTCCTCACCGTCCTCCGAGAGGGGCTCATCGTCTTCGAAGGCGTCAGCACCGTCCAGCATCTCGTCTGTGCCGTCCATCCCAGTCTCGTCCAGCCAGGCGGCCGTCTCCTCTGCGTTCATCGCCTCCATTTCCTCGGCAGCCTCAGCCGCCGAGCGAGCGTCGGCGCGCGCGGCGCCGCTGCCGTCACCATGTGTGGCGCGCCACTCCACCGGGTGGTGGGTCTTGCAGTGACGTGCCATGTTGCTCGACACCATCACCTTGCCGCAGAACGGACAACGCCGCATGCGCCGGTTGGCGTATGTACCGCCGGGCGTGGCGGGCGCGGAGGTCGGCGCCGGTGGGCCGGACGAGCTCGTCTCGTCAGCGTCGGCTAGCGACGCGTCGTTACTGGCCTCGTCGGCCAGCGCGGCGCTCATGCCCGGGTAGGAGGTATCGGTGACGTTCTGTAGCTCCTCCTCACTCACCTCCGGGTGCGAGGCGCGGATATGGCGCCGCAGGTTGTTCACCACCACCGTCTTGTGACAGACAGGACAGGTGCGCTGCCGGGCCGGGTTCAGGCCGCCCGGCACGCCCGTCTTGGTGGACGGTTTACCGGGTGAGCCGCTGTGCCAGTTGAGAATATGCCGCCGCATGTGACAGCCGCGCAGCAGCTTGCTGCAGTAGCGGCACCGCTTCAGGTTCTTCTCGTGGCGGCGGGAGTTGGTGGGCACCGTCTCCCCCTCGTCCATGTCATCATCCAGCACCTCCTCCCCCTCGGGCTCGTCGTCGTCAGCCTGGAGCGCCTCCATGCCCTCCGCCTCCGCCATGGCGTTCATCTCGCGAATAGCCATGGACGCTGCGTCTTCCTCGTCCTCTTGTCCATCCTCCTCGCCGGCCGAGGAAGGCTCGGAGGCCGGCGGTGGAAGTCCGCGCTCCAGCGCCGCCGCGCGGATCGCCGCCTCCAGGTCGAATGAGTCGGTCAGCTCGTGGCTGTGCTCCGGGTGCACCTGGCGGATGTGGCGCTTCACGTTACACCGCCACATGGTCTTCCAGCAGTGGGGGCAGTGTTTAATGACCTTGGCCTTACTCACGGCGCCCGGCGGGGGCGGGAGGTTGTTCAGGTGCCGCTCACCCTCCTCATCGAGTTCGTACTCGGGGTGAGACGAGCGCACGTGCGACACCAAGTATTTCTTCCACATGGTTTTACTACACACAGGGCAGGTGCGTTTGTATGCAGCGTACTTGTTGTCGGCGGTTGCCTGTTCCGCCGGCTCGTCATCAACCACCTCCTGACGGGCGCCTTCCATCGGCTCGTCGTCGGAGAGGGTCATCATGTGCTGGTCCTGCGGCTGCTCGGCGACCTCCAGCGTCGGCGGCTGGTCGGACGGCACACGCGCCAGACCCGTGGCCGGGTCCACGCGGCGCATACTCGGCTTCCACGGGTGCATGACGCGCATGTGACGCCGCAAGTTGTTCTGGCGCATCTTCTTGTGGCACTTCGTGCAGCTGACAATCTGCGCGGAGCTGGGCGCCTCGTCGGGCGCCGCTGCGCTGAACACGGGGTGCGCCAGCGGCCGCGGAGACTCGTCACCCGACTCGTCATCGGCGGGCGGCGGCGGCAGCGCTAGCGGCTTCTGCTGGATCACCTTGCCCGGGTGGTAGATGTCCACGTGGTAGGGCAGCCGCGTGCGAGCCATGTGTTTGTTACAGAAGTCGCACTGGATGACGTCCTCGCCACACTTCTCCAGGTGACTGGCCATGCTGGAGGACCACAGCACCAGGCCGCAGCGCTCACACGGCTGCTTCACGCGGCCGAAGATGAAGCTACTGCAGAAGTAGCTCAGGTCCGGGTACCGCTTCAGCATCTGCGACTTGAAGCGACGGTTCTTGTAGATGGAGCGGATTTGGCGCGATAGCTTACGGATCAGTTGGTCTCCCAGTTTGGAGTTTTTGTTGAGCAGCAACACGCAGATACCGTGGTTGATGAGCAGGCTCGTCACGCGCGTATGCACCACCTCGCGGCACCCCTTGCACTGCAGCCGCATACCGCCGTGGATCTTGGTCATGTGTTTTCCCAGCGTGCGCATGTTGACCTCGCGCGTGCAGTAGGGACAGAAGTAGCCGCGCTCGGGCAGACTGAGCTGGCGGCGCAGGATGCGGTCGAGCAGCGCGCTGGTGCCCGGGATCAGCATGTCGTCCAGGTTACCAGCGGCCGGGTCCCCCGCGGCCGACGGCTCGCCCACAATGTGACTGACCGCGCCGCCGCCGCCGCCTTCGCCGTCCAGCTTCTCCAGCCGCACCACACAGGGGCTGACGGCTGAAACAGGGGAGCGGCGCCGCGTCAGACAGACACCGGCGGCGGCGGCGGCGGCGGCGGCGGCCGACGGCCAACAATTTGAAATTTCATAATGACCGAATTAAGTGAATTTGTTGCTTTGGGGGTATTTGGGAGCGCCGATTTGATGTTCTGATAGCACCAAACACCTAGGACCATAATTCGTCAATATTAATTAAGTGCAGGTCTTTTGCCAAAAATAGCTCGTCTTTAAATAAGTTGGCCAATTTTCATTGCAATGAATCGCGACTTGACTCTTTTCTTATCACATTTCGTCACCCTCATGCCTTTCAATATTCGGCCAACAATTGCTGGCCTAGCCGCGTGCCCAAACATCAGATTAGCTGATGTGTCGAGTCATGCCAGTCACGATGATCTATTTTGTTTTGGATTCATTACAGCGCAGTGCTATATCAGCCCTGTGACCGATTTCGCTCCATAGGTAACGATTTTGTGCTAACATGAATTCTGACACCAACCTTTCATAAATACTCGTTTGCCTAATTTGCCTAATAAAGTCTGCGCGATAGAGCTTTCAGACCCCGCGTTGGGCCCAAATCACATCGCAACAGTCCGACGTATCTTTATCAGTTCAACTACCCTGGGGAATCGGCGCTGGACTTACTCTTTGGTGCGGATGCCGCCGGTGCCATCTGGAACGAGTTGCCTCCTTCAAACCGGAAACCTGCGGGTAGGCGAGCGGGCGGTCTCAGAGGGTGTCGGCGCGTTCAAAACTGTTGTGCAAGGGATGGGGACCAGCGGACGGCTGTCTCTGCGCTCCGCAGGTCGGAACGGCACCGTTACTCGACCGGTGGCGTGTGGCACGACGAATGATTACAGGAATCATCGGTCCTTCACAGGGAATGACGGAAAACGCACGCTAGCTAGTATCTCCAAATAATCGAACCTAAGGCCCTAAAGCAGCGCGGATTACAGACAGAGACGGTCCGCCGTTACCGGTTACAAACCAGACCCCGTTACTGAATCCCCCAATATCTCTGCTGCCACTCACCCTGGCTGGTGGACGTTTTCAGCATGCTCATGTCGCTGATGGCGGTCATGGCGACTGGCGGCCGGACGGGCGGCGTCTCGTCCGGGTCACAGGGCTCCTCCTTCACCACCACCTCCGGCTCCAGGTGCGACGGGCGGCCAGACGGCTGTGGGGCAGAGGAGGAGGGTGGGTCAGCGAAGAAGAGCGGCACCGCCGGCTCCAGATGCGACGGGCGGCCAGATGACTGTGGGAAGGGGGAAGTGTGCGTCAGAGCGATATCACGGACTACAGGTGCGAGGGGCGGCCATATGACCATATGACTGTGGGGCAGAGGAGGGAGGGTCAGAGCGATATCACGGACTACAGGTGCGACGGGCGGCCTGATGGCTGTGGGGAGGGGGAAGTGTGCGTCAGAGCGGTATCACGGTTCAGTTCAGTTCAGTTCACGGACTACAGTTGCGACTGGGGAGGGAGAAGTGTGCGTCAGAGCGGTATCACGGACTACAGGTGCGACGGGCGGCCAGACGGCTGTGGGGAGGGGAGAGCGGGTCAGTCAGGGAGGAGTGTTTCGTCCGGCTTCAGGTGCGAGGGACGGCCAGACGGCTGTGGGGAGGGGAGAGCGGGTCAGTGAGGGAGGAGTGTTTCGTCCGGCTTCAGGTGTGAGAGGCGGCTCGTAGACTGTGGGGAGGGGCAGGACAGGGGTCGATAAACACTGCCGGCTCCAGGTGCGAGGGACGGTCCGACAACTGTGGGACAGGGTAGGAAGAGTTAGGGTAGATGGGGGAAGGGGAGTGGCACCATCGGCTCCAGGTGTGAGGGGCGGCCCGTAGACTGTTGAAAGGGGGAGGGTCAGGGTAGGTGGGAGGAGCGGTCCGTCCGGCTTCAGGTGCGAGGGGACGACCGATGACCAGGGAGTGGGGGAGGGGGCAGGGAGGCGGTCAATCAATACCCGGCCGGCTCCAAATGCGAGGAATACCTAGGCCGACGACTGAGGCGCGGGGAGGCAGGACAGGTCAGCGAAGGAGGGGGCTCAGGTGCGAGGGACGGCCCGTCGGCTGTGGGCGGCCGCGGGTCAGAGACGGATCGGGGGGAAAGGTTGACACACCACCTCCAGTAATTCCATGTGACACATGATCCCAACCCAGTACTGTGGAGCTGGGGCTCCCAATCTCAGCCCCAGAGCCACGGACTGTAACTCACGGCTCTATTGGTAGCGGAGGCGGACTGTGGTGGCGGCGCCGAACCGCCGGCAGCCTTGGCACGCTCGTCGTCGGTCAGTCCGCGCACTTCGAGCGCCTTGGCCGTCTTGAGGAAGCTAGGCAGCTCCTCCTCGGAGACGGTCACCTCACCCTGGTAGATGAACGTCAGCAGCGCCGCCATGTCCTTGTACGGAATGTCACGCATTATCACGATCGGGTGCTTGTCGGGACTCGTCTGCCGGAGTTGGGGGAGGGGAGAGGGGTTAGTGGTACCACAGACAAATCAGTACCACTCACTCACAGCTTTGCTCAAGTACATAGTCCAGAGGTGCATGCCACACAGAATGCAGATGCACACCAATGCAGACACAACCACATCTGCATTCAGAACCTTCAAAATATGATAAAGGATAGTCTGATTTGTGAATTCCTTTCAGAAGAAGATTGTGGATTACATCTATTCATAGCAGTTAGGCAGGGACCTATTAAAACCCAGGTGATAAAGAGTATAGGTAATTAATTCAAGCTGACTCCAACTCAGATTTCAGAAGCATTGGTGACATTCCAAAGTTTTGTATATGTATTGCTCTTATCACAAATTGAGCCTGATTCAATACTATAGACAGCCTAAGTCACTAGATCAACATAGCAGATTATACATAACACAAGTGATGAGCAAAAACACTACTATGATTATAGCAGAATGCACTTTACATCCCCAATCAGATTTGGATATTGGGTTGCAATAGTCCTATTGAATGTCAATAATTATCCCCAGACCCACACAGGTCTTTTACCCAGGCCCACACAAGTCTTTTAACATCAAACATGTGACAAACTTTTGGAATCTGGACCACAGGTAGCCCAGAGCCCCAAGTAGTCAGTTCTCTTCTACCTTGAGCAGCTGCTTGAAGTGGGGGCTGGCCACGGAGAGCACCAGCTTGTGGCAGCGCAGCACTCTGCCCTGGCATGATATGGTGAGGTCTGTGAGGTCCCCATCATCGAAACACTCCTTCATGGAGCATGCAAAGCTGGGAAGGTGGTTGTCCCACCTCAGCAGCAGTTGTGACCCCATGGTCGCACCAGTCCTGAGAAACAGAAAGGAAGATACATATCTTATAATGCATTACTCAAGTCACAAGCTGAGGAGGACTATAAAGCCTCATTTAAAAATGAGCACCTTGTCTTCTTGACATTTGAAGAGCAGACATCACGTGAAGGTTTTCCAGCCTAGGAGAGGCACTGCAGGTTTGAAGGTTGTAGGTTTGTAGGTTCAAAGGTTATAGGTTAGGTTTATTTTGGTTAGAAAGAAGCATCTCCGGGTATAGCGCCTGTCCTTGGTTGGAAAACCTTCGCATGACGTCTGCTCTACTAATACCACCTACTGTGTGTATGAAAATTTAAATAATCTCCAGGGCACTTCAAAATCAAAGGGCTGTTGAAATTACATCAGAATATTAAAAATTAACAGCGGCACTTATAGGTATATAATCAGTGCGCCATAATTGCCTCATGCAGAAAAAAAATGAATGAAGGGATAATAGCACATGCAGTATTCCACCGCAGTGTACTTGGCTTGAGCTGAGGTCGAAAAGAGCATCAGACACTTTGAAAAGGAACAGAAAAATCAATATTTGTGCATTGAATGAAGAATCAATGACAACAATTATGCAATCGAAAAATGCCGGCATCGCCACGGTCCGAAGAGCTTCCGGCAATCTTAGTACGAGCCAGTGAACATGCTGAACGGGCTTCTTCAGTGAGATTGGACACAGAATTACTTACCTAACACAATTTCCAATAAAGCTTCACATTGCGAAGATATCTCAAAATTTTGCGAGTACCACAACGACGGCAACGACCCCTGACAGCGATTGACGTACAAGATGGCGGACATGCCTAAGAGCTGGACTTTTTGCACGCGTTCCCCGCCAGGGGGCGCCACTGAGGAAGCACCCTCTGACGTCACGATAAAACTGCGCGCACTGTGCGCACGGGTCTGTAAGCAAGTAATATAGTGGTGGTTTCATGGTGGTAATTGGAATAAGTATTTTGACGTTGTAAAATTTCAAGCCGTTTTTGTGAAATTAATTAGTAAATGCATTTCAAAAGTATTTATTTTAAGTGTGAAAGGAGAATAATTAGAAGAACATGGATATTTTTGTTCCAATAGCTTATTATGTGAGACATGATCGGTACTAACGGGTACTTCCAAGAAGTAGTGAAGAAGTACCAAACAGCCTGCTCGGCTACGATCGTCAGCTGTCCTTTGGAGCTGGACTTCAACGCTGTAAAAAAATATGTGCTGAATTAATTTTCAGTTTCACCAAAATATACGCAATTTATCATTTCTTTTTCACTTTTGTAATTATTGTTGAGTGAAGAGACATGTTGCTAGTTCTGACAATATAAATTATTAATTAAAAAAACGAAATGCGACGGTGAGAATCTGCTACTAAATTATCACTTTAACCAAATACATGGAGAATCTTGCTACCATTGCTTATAAAACGTGCTTATCAATACACAAATGTTTTATTTCAGACAAGAAGGATTTATTTGCCTGAAGTCTTGCGTCATGTGCTACTGCTTTGATTCCAAAGACGCTCTCCGGGTCGGGGTAATTTAGTTCTTCATCGATCGATAAGAGATTTTGATTCCATTGATATCCAAATTGATAAGCTCGGCACCATGGAGTAAGGGCATCCCCACAGGGGTGACGCAGGAAATATGAATGGCGTTTACACCGACAGTAGTTTCCCACAGCCGGCAATGGGAATCTCCTGTCGGTGGAAACGCCACTATAGTCCCATCCAACTCAAGCATTGGGGAATATCCCCGCACTTTTGAGGACGGAAATCTATGGACCTGCTCGAAAAATAGTGGATAAAATACGGCGAGCTTTCAGTTTTATGGTTGGGTCTCCCTTCCGAGGCACATATTTACGGGGGATATTGGGTCATATTCCCCCGGCGTCCTGATGATCGACGCCCAGCTCAACGTCGAAGGCGCCCTGATACGCGGCACTGCTATCTGTGAAGGTGCCCAGGTTGCTGCCGCTCGAATTTTGGTCGCCTACTTAACAAAACCTCCGTTGGTGCCATCTCAGTTTCCTCGAGGTCAGGCAACCTTCACACGCCGTTGGCTACCTTGGCTGGCCGGCGACTCGTTCCCCTCGTGGCGACGCTCTTGACATCCAGTCAAAACTTGGAGTGGCTGGCGCCCCCAGTGGGGGCCGGGGAAGGGGCAGTGGGCCTCCACGTTGCTCTCTTCCCGAGCCTATGGTGACTTGGCTCAACTCTCCTCAATAGAATATGGATTATGCACGCTGTATTAACATGGGCATAGACTCCACTACGGACAATACGGACAGTGGGTGTGACAATCAGTAGTGCCATTCATATAGAGGGTGTCATATATGAGCGGAGAGGCAACAGTACAGCTGAGCGGAGAGACAACATTAAAACAACAGTACAGCTGGCGTTGCATGGAGCTGCAGGCAACCGGACAGCGGAGGCTTGCGAAAAATAAACAATTCGTCACTTCAACGTATAAACAATAGTATAAAAAAGCAACATAAACACATATTCTCATGGTCGAACCCATGCACTAGCGGCTCACAGCGGGCAGAGGCAGCAGTGCGGTAGCGGTACCGGATCACACGTCATGGGCGTTGTCTCAGCATAGGTTGTTATGAGCGGAGAGGCAACGGTACAGCTGAGCGGAGAGACAACATTAAAACAACAGTACAGCTGGCGTTGCATGGAGCTGCAGGCAACCGGACAGCGGAGGCTTGCGAAAAATAAACAATTCGTCACTTCAACGTATAAACAATAGTAAAAGCAACATAAACACATATTCCCATGGTCGAACCCATGCACTAGCGGCTCACGGCGGGCACAGGCACGCAGTGCGGTAGCGGTACCGGATCACACGTCATGGGCGTTGTCTCAGCATAGGTTGTTCGCAATCTAGTTGAAGCCTAAGACGACGGCCAGTGGGGTCTCACTGCTGCTGAGGCGACCTCGGAGAAGATGCGTCGCCCCTCCTGTCGGCGACCTGCGGTGAGCAGGACTCCAGATAGCTGTCTGGCACGTTGCCGACACTGCCAGACGCTGTCAGCAGGCCTCACTGCTGCAAGTGATGTGCAGAGGGACGCCAGGTGACTTCGTCTGCAGGCGATTCCGGAGACCGCGGCCTCACCAGGCAGTACCACCTGCATCGCCATGTCGGTGTTTCTAGAAATGGAAAAATTACAGTATCGGTGAAGGACAAGCAATACAATGAATTCTGTTTTCCTCTCTTGCAGGTATACGTAATCTACAATTATCATTGTTCCTATTTCATTCAACTGAACCTGAAAATTCCATATTGGCACATTGTTTGACTAAATTTGTGTAGTTGGGAACAGGGGCGACGCCACGGTGCGACGACTGGAGGGGACATTGACCATTTTGGAGGGGACGAGGACCATTTCAAGTCGATTCTTTCCATGCAACGCCATAGGCGTAATGTTAAAATTTTAAAAAGTGGAGGGGACGAGATCCCCTCCGTCCCCCCCTGTGGCGACGCCCTCGGTTGGGAAGCAGATTGTTTGAAATACATGCTTGGCTGAACAGTGCGGAAAATATTTCATTGATCACTATAGCTGCAACAAAAATACTGACAGAAAACATTTGCGCTTACCTGGCTCCTTAGTCAGTCCCGCACAACGGAAGTGGTACAATTTATCGCAGCCGTCGCATCCGACCATCGGTGCTGCACTGATGCTGCTGCACTCCCCACATTCCCAGTACCTTAGGAGCGTCTTGGCTGTGAAAAGATTACATGAGTCATGGCGCATACATGAATAGTAAGATGTTTTATATGTTTAACATCGCATAGCAAAGACACAACAGCTGGGAGTCAAGTGTAAGCCAAAGTGTAAGCCCTGCCATGTTTTGCAGACTGGATTTTAAGCAAGAAAAGCGTTGCTAAAAATGACGCTTGACGAAGCCTCATCCTACTGGGCTGTCTGACATGTCTCCCTGTAAAAAGCATGTGGCCCTTATATTGTATATATGATGAATATGTTAATAATGCAGAGAAAACACAGTATAAATTATACCCAACGTTTCATCTTAATCGACTTTGTCAAGGGTGTTTGAACAGCTTGAGATGAGTGAAGTGTAAGGGTGTAAGGGTACCTAGGTACATCTGAAAATAAACTGAATCTGCGTTCAATAAATATTGATTTTGATAATACATTTCACAAAACAACTGCTAATAACAATCATACTAAAATAGCACGACAGATAACTAACAATCGCATGAAGAACTTCTTGATACGCCTTTCGACATTGTCGTCCGAACGAATGTTGTGAAGTTACACATTTGTCTTTTCTGCGCAGCATTTGTGTTTGCAATTTACCGCACCAATGTTCGCCAGCGGTGGTGACTTTTCCTTACCTGCTCACGAAACGTCACACACGACATGACGTCACCCGAAGACGTCATCAAAAAGTCCAGCTCTTAGGCGTGCCCCAAGATGGCGTCCGATCCTGATGATGTTGCCAGTGCTACCATATGAAGGCAAAATGTCAACAACCTCTACGAGTTGGATGGATCTTTGCACCCTTGGATCTTTGCTATCGTTGTACGATTCACATGTCACGCCTCACGGACCTCGGTTACGACCTTTTTGGTAGGCTTCTGCAAAAGACAGCCTTCCAGAGAAAAGTAGGAGCGGGAATCATGTTCTTTCAAACGTCTGGAACTGAGCATTTGGCTGTCAGAAAAATATGAAATCCGTTTCGAAAAAACCATTTCAGCTCCGGGTGATTGATAAACCCAAGATAAACCATTTGCAAATACTTGCCTTATTTTGCTTTTAGGGAAATGAAAGCTTCTTATTTTGATTTGAAAATGGAACAAAAATAAAAGATATCTAACTCAAGATTAGAATGAAGAGCACGTCACGGAGCTTCAGTAAGAGATCCGATTTTGCAAATTTCCTTTACCTAAATTTCCCTACTATTAAAATTTGGTAGCACTACCGGCTGCGACAAATACTAAGCCCGCGACAAATACGGCGTGAACCAAGCCCTCTTGCAGTTTGAGATTGGAGGTTGTGGGTGTTGGTTGCGATTCGGGAGAGAAAATTAAATGACAAGAATCGATTAGATAGTTTTTGGTAAGAGGAGTAGCTTTTGAGAGCTATTTTGTGTGTTAACTTGCCTGTTGTTGCCCACCTTATGCCACCATTACAATTACTCTTTCAGGAACAACCATTGTCAGCAGATCACTTATCATGGAATTCATCATTATCATTTGAATTGAACCAATTTGATAAATGTTTAAAGAAATTGATTGAGCTATTATTGCCAAAATTGATGACAGACTTACGAAATAACGATGTATGTAGTGTTTTTGCAATGCATGTGATATCAAACTCAAAGTAAAGTGCCGCTACCATTCAAATTATGGATAGCTGTTAAGTTTCATTGATAGTTATCTTCCCTGTCATCAGTATTTCACATAGAGGTAATGCTGTGCTCTCCTTTACCCTATTAGGACTTTAAACACCAGATTATATCATGAAATACAACACTTGTTGAATAATAAGGGTAGATCACATGGTTTTCTGTGAAATAGTGAAAGCTTGCGTAATTTTGTGGCTTTCACTGGGCATTGATAACTTCCCTATTTGTTACAGGTGCTATTACTGAGGTCAGCTTAATGAGGTAGCAGGTCTATCCTGCTACTGGCTGCAGGTGGTTGTCAAACAGGCAGTTTCCACTCATCAACCATGCTGTTCAACACAAAGTACCTCAGAAGTGACCACATCACAGGATTTGAGAACTATAAGGTAATATCACCCACTCACTAAATTTGAATCTGTTAAGTTTATTGTGGGTCAAGCTTTGAAGGCCCCATAACATAAGGCCCCATAAAAAAGGCCTTATGTAATTAACCATAGATCACTGTCTGTATATTTGGATATGCAGGGGTCTTTGTATCAGTAAATGTTGTGATATAAAACATTCATAAAACAGAAAGTGACTAAAACCCATGGTTTATTTTGAAGGTTTTTGAGTTGTCAGTCCATACCCTCATCAACAGTGAGTAAAAACCTTATTATGTGCAAGTAAAACCTAATTCCAATGAAGTTCTTTCATGACTGAATATTCTGAATGGTTTAGTACATAGTTACATAGAACCTCTAATAAGGTGATATTATTGTGTAGGTCTAGTCTCGACCTGACCTCTAGAGTGCCTAATGAAAATGTTCAATGTGAAGGGTACCTGCTTAAATGAATAGTCTATATTTTTTATTTACATTACCAAACAGCATTCAGCTAGGCATGACCTATCTGTCAACCAGTCTCATTTATTATGACTGCCAAACCACCTTTTGATTATGCCAACTTTATATTCTCCCTATCAGGCTACTGGAACAGAATTTGGCAGTTTTGTGTTAGCTTCATATGTCAATGTGTTTAGTAGGTACATTTTGATACTGATTAAAGATGTTTCTTATTTCAGTACAACTCTGTGGACACCAGCCCATTGAGCAACTATGTGATGCACCCATTCTGGAATGCTGTGGTCAAGGTGAGTGGTCAACAGCAGGGATTCCATGCTCCCTGCAGCTGACATGCAATGGTGTTTAGTTGTGCCTTTAGATTAGGTGTCAGGTTGTAGGCAACCTACGCCTCATCATTATTAATACTGCCCTTATTTATTCACTGCTTTTACATGTTGTGGCCCTGATATGGAATGAACTAGAATCCCAAATCATGTGTAGCTCAGCCATGCCAACTGCCTTGAAATTTATGCTGTGCTCCTCATTCATATGAATGATGAGACCAGTCAGTAGCATAAGTCAATCAAGCCAGCCTATTTCAAAACTGATTTATTTGGTATTCGGGACACATTGAGTCATGACGAAGCTCGCACAACGTAAAGACCATGATTGGGACAGACGATGGCTAAAAACATTCCCGGACATTGCGGAAAACAACGGACAACGTAACACGTAGCATCTTCAAGCTTTTCACCGAGGGAAGGGTAGGAACGGTTCTCAAGTTGAACAACAGCTGCATTGTAATTGGTTACAAACTGCGGTGTACACCTGTGGCTTTCATTTACGACGGATAGCAAACACCATTGCTCTGTTTCACCGTACGATGCTACCGAGCGCCAAGACCCGGTACCGTCGGGTAGCAGTGTCATGAAACGGGGTCCACATGTCAGTGGCTTCGTGCATTCGCGCGACATTTTATAACTATTAAATACGACAGATATGTAGGTAGCAGGGGTGCGGACTGCGGAGTCGATGGACTTGAGGGTGACTCTGACTCCGACTCCGGCTTTAAGAATTCGACTCCGACTCCAACTCCGACTCCGACTCCGGACGGCTCTATTAAAATCCATATCATAATATTGAACTTCATTATGGAGATGTTTTAATCTTGCCTGATGCGATCCCTTGTGCTTTCCAAATTCCAAGGCTTTGCGTTGCAAATATGCATTGAAAATAGCATGCAGAATTAAAAAGTAGGTTCTGGGGCATTCACCGTCTTCTGCTTCTTTCTCTGAAAACGTTCGTCCAAAACAGCAAAATGGCCTTTTTTCGACAAAATATAATTTCGAGCGCAGTATCGTCAATCAAACAGGTGAAATGCATGACGTTGAGCCATGCATCGTTAACTCCGACTCCGGAGTCGGAGTCGGTAAGCTTTTGGCTACTCCGACTCCGACTCCGGGCAGAACTGTCGACTCCGACCGACTCCAACTCCGACTCCGACTCCGCAGCCTTGGTAGGTAGTTCATGGCCTACCATACACCTACAGAACTTAGGGCGGTGAATTTTTCGGGCCTCTGAGGGTGAAACAACTCATGATTACGACTTACGCTGAATGGTTTTGTGGCGAGCCTTGTTTTCCTCTCGTGTCGATTTGTATGCGTTACTGGGAGAATACATAGTTGGTTTCTCCACTTGCATAGTTACATTTTTGCAAGGTTATCACATACCTACTTAACATCAAATTGTTCAAAGGAAAAAAGAGAATATTTCCGCGTCTTGTTACTTCTACACTAAACGAAATTACCATAAGATATTTCTCAGGGGACTCACTACTAAGTGAAGCGATTTCTCGCTGCACTTTGCCATCATTTCCGCAATCGATTTCGTTTTTGTTCCCATGTGTAACATCCTTCAGTCATCCGTGTTTTTTTTTCTGCACCTTCTCAGCGATTGTGGGAATTAGGGCTCGTGGATACGGTAGCCGCCCGTATCGGTGTTGACCGTGACCCTCTCTGTCGCTCGGTCCGTGCTGGTGATCTGGCAGGGTATTTGAGTGCAGACGCGAGTGGTCTGTGCGATCTGTCTGGCGTCGTGCGAGGGCCGGCCGGACCGCGTACCGTACGAACTGTGGAGTGGTTCTCGGGCAGAGTCCGTGGGGGCCTGCGCCGCCACCCCGGGTCCAACTGCGGCGACCCCTGTCCGGCCCGGACCGAACCCCCGACAACCCGGAGTGGAGACTCGCGTCGCCGACAGCAGATTATTGCATCTCTGTCAGAGCACCATTACCCTACTCGCTAATGATGGGCAGCGCGCCTTGTAAATTTCCAACCAAGACGGTAACTTTCCACTGACGGCATCTGTCAAATGTGGTAATGATCGCAGCCGATAGTATGTGTTTGCCCAGCTGATCGGAGTGTGACGGTCGTTCGTTTGGTGCAGCTGGTGGTCTGATGTGGCACCACTGCTGAGCTCAGCTCTCTACTCTACTCAGCTACTGTATCATCCTTTCGGGTGCTGCGCTCGACGGTCAAAATCACCGTGGACTATGTCCGATGCAGAGCGATAAACTGACCGGCCTTGTATGCTGGAGTGGCGTGGTGGAGTGCTATATTTGGCGCTGACGGGCTGGGACTCCGAACTGGTTGCACTGGCCAGTAGGTTTGCGTACCGGCATGCATGTATGTATGTAGATATGCGAATCATGGGTTTTGAGTCCATAGACACGCACGCACTCACGTGCCTGCAGTTTACACACGCACGTTGATACTGTTGTTTATTAGAAAGCGAAACAATTGCCGGACTGGTAGACGCCTTTCGTCTCATTTGCTCGGATGTTTCGCCATACGGAGGTCCAAAGGTTTGCGGAAATAGCGATACCTATCGTGTGACTCAAGACTTGCGATATCATGTGAAATGGACAATCCCCGATCGTCGAGGATTGTCCACACGCCGAGGCTCGGCACCGCATAACTCATCGGACATTTCACGACTCAGAAAAATCGTACACTTGATTTATGAGACTTGAATTGTAAGGTGGAAATGAAGCTATAAAATATGTGAAGAAGTGAAGTTGCAAGTCCTTGACCTTGACGAAAAGAGAAGATCACTGCGTTTGGCAAACCTGTTCCTGCCGGATCGTTCCCAACGTCGCACTCTCGCGGACCGCACATATGTGTAAACGTTCGTCAGCTCTCTCCGCATTAAACCGCCTTGAGCCTGCTCATTCTGGCCGATATTTGCGTATATTGTGCGTTCGGCGTATCCATCTACACTAGTCACTACTCCGAAATAAATCTCCATGTGCCGTTTTAGCGATGCGTGTGTGCATGACGTATGCGTTCGGTAAATACATAGGTATGTTCACAGTTCACACCGAATTGTGCCCAGTATGTCAATAATGCTGACCTACCTTTGAACCCGTGTATTTGTGTGCTTGCTCGGGATATTTCTCCACACCAAATTCTAAATCGCTCCCAGTGTTTGACCCGCCTCTGACCCGGCACATTTTTTGCACCCGCTCCACAGATCTGCCCGCGCCGGATTGCGCCGAATCTGCTCACGCTGACGGGTTTTCTGCTGACGGTGGTGAACTTTGGCCTGCTGACCTTCTACGACTACTACTTCGTGGCGTCTAGCGTGTCCAACAAGCCGGAGGTGCGACCGGTCCCGCGCTGGGTGTGGCTGATGGCCGCAGTCAACCTCTTCCTGTCTCACACACTCGGTAAGGCCGGGCAGTGTGGGAGTTATCGGTGCGTCATCCGGGGCTGAGTCAGTGACTCAGTACACACCCCGGAGTGTTCCATGACTAATGGGTGAATAGGTGTGATGAATGATTGTTACCGGAATAGCTGCACTGATACACCCGAGACGCAATTTCGACTTATGGGCGAAATGCGAGAATGTCACAATTTCTTCCCGATGAGAAACTGTATTATCTTACCCATCAACATACAGGGTGGGGCAGCATAATCGGGAATAAATATCAAACGGGATTATTTGGTCATGAATTTAAAAATATAGCTCCAAGCACTATTTTAACAACATCCCATCAATCGGTCACCTTTTACCTATCCCTCATCCTATTTGACCGCCCTTCGCGTCGATGACCTTCTCAAGGCGGGTCCAAAAGCACGCGCATGCACGTGCAGCCTCCTGCTTGTCCATGATCGCCCATCAGCTTCGTACCTTGCACTGAAGACCGTTTTTACTGATGATAAGTTGTTCATTAACCTTCTACCAAAAAACGCTCCATATAAAGAATTTGGTCGGATTTAAATCGGCGGAGTTGAAGGACCAGAAGTTTTTGGTTCATCTCAGGTGGAGGTGCCCTACACAATAACATGTCGTCCTCACTGCAGTACCAGCACGGACAGAGTCCTCGTAAGACGTGATCTGGACCGTCAGTGATCCTCTCTTCCGACGACTCCACGTGAGTCTGCCAGAGTGTGGATGTATTTACCAGAGGTGCTCGTTTTATCCGGGCTCGATGAAGTAGGGTGCACCACGTGCACCTCCCTTGAAGACCACCCATAGGTCCATCACCTCAACAGGATGTTTACTTTGCATGACCGCTGCAATATTCTCGATACAATCCCCTATATGGCATGCCATTCTTTTTTATCGTATTCCAGTCGGTGATAAGATTTTTGGTCGCTGAAGTTTTGAACATTGTTTCTTTTTAATATGCTCAAGAGCTTCTTCCTTATATTCAAGTGAGTCATCTTGTATGTCCTCTGCTAAGAGTTATTTTACGACGATTACGTTAACTTTTTGTCCTAAGTATCCCCACACAATCCTTATCGTCCGTGATAACACGTTGACCTGTCCAGCAACCTTTACGTGGAATGGCATTGTTTTAAACAAAATGTTCTTGTTTTACTCGTTTAACATTAGTGTCTATGGGCGCGCGCAAAGCAGTTGGAGCACCGTCGAACTATTTTGCTGCTCTTTTCCAGGAAGTTGCATGCTCATGGATGTAGTCATGTCAGATGATGCACAACTTTTGGGCGTTTCATTGCCATGATATAATTTATCAAAATAATGCCATGCCTACTCATGACCAGAGCCCAAAAAGCATTCCCGATTATGCTGCCCCACCCTGTACAATAGCACGGCCGTCCCCTCTGGTAGATTGCATAGCAACCCCATAGATCTCAGCTGGTGTAAAGCCTCTTCCTTTATCGGTCTAGAACGGTAAAGCTTTACGTAAACCTATCCTGCCGACAAACCTTGTAATGCCCTCTGGTCGATAGATATGACGCCTAATGAGTACAAGACGTTATAAGTTATAACCCACCATTGTCCATAAACAGTATACCTAACGGCCCTGTGCTAGTGATGGTAAGTGCTAAGTTAAGTGCCAAGCTAAGTAAGTATTAAGTAAGCGACAGATGTCACAACGTCCCCGCATAATTGTCCACAGACGGCCTAACATCCCCTTGTTCTGTCCACAGACGGCATTGACGGGAAGCAGGCGCGCCGGCTGGGTATGAGCGGTCCGCTGGGCGAGCTCTTCGATCACGGTCTCGACTCTTGGAGCTCATTCTTCATCCCCATCACACTATTCTCCGTGTTCGGCAAGCTCGAGTACAGCATCCCGCCGATCCGCATGTTCTTCTGTATGTGGAGCGTGTTCATGTGCTTCTTCCTGTCACACTGGGAGAAGTACAACACCGGACTGCTTTTCCTGCCCTGGGGATACGATCTGTCGCAAGTGGTGAGTGCCTGGCGTTGAACGGTTTCGCTAGGGTTAGCTGGGGAGGGAGGGGGCTTGCTTTTTCGTGCAATGTGATCGTGTCGAGATGGTTTACGTAATCTAGCTGCATTCAACAAATAAATCTGTCTTGCCTGTCCATACAATAAGTTCATTGATAATTTAGTCGATTTGTTTGAAATATTGGTATGGTACAGTTATTGCTTTCAAATAGCTTTCATTGGATGGACAAGCAGCTTACGATTTAATGCCTGATAATAAATTAAATGGGTGATGAATTACACGATTAGTTTAATGTGTCTTGTTCAAAGCAAGAATATTGTTTAAAGACCGTAAAAGTATTTCGATTTCCTTTTATTGCACATTGTGTCTGGCCTGTCTGCTAACCGCAGCCGGTCTCCGTTAACCCTTCACCCCACCTCTATCCACAGAGTATGCTGCTGCTGTACCTCGCCACGTTTTTCGGCGACTACACGGTGTGGAAGTGGTCGCTGTATAACGCCGCCGACGGCACTCCCATCATCACCGCGGGCGCCACGTTCGAGATACTCATGTGGGTCGGATCGCTCGGCTCGGCCCTGCCCGTCACACTGTGGAACATCTACAAGTGAGTGGGGCTGTGAAGTGTGTTCGGTCTGGGTTGGTGCTACAATTACTAATTAGTGAGTGGGGACTGTGTTTGGTGGTGGATCTGGGCTCCTTGTCTGTTATATTGTCGAGTAGCTACAAATAAGTGGGGCTGTTTCGGCCAGTTTTTTTCCTTGTGATTGATTTTGGGGCTATCGTCATGTAGTGTAGCATGTTTGGCGTACTTCCGCCGGACAAGTTCTAATCCAGGACCTCGTTTCATAAAGCGAGTCCGTAACTTACGCCGGTTTTTGGTCTTGTATTGCAAGTGCATGTGAAGCGATAAATTTATTTCCCCTTCTCCCTTCTGTTCTTGCTTGCAAGATAAATAAATTCAACGATTCAAACTAACGTCATCGCTTCACATGCACTTGGAATACTAGACCAAAAACCGCCGTAAGTTACGGACTCGCTTTATGAAACGAGGCCCAGGACGGTGTCGATCTTTTTAGGTAGATATTCAAGTGTAGCGACATGTGCTGTAGCTTGGCATTTGCTCGATCAAGGGGATGACATTGCGTCTGGTTGCGTCTCCTATGCGAGGTAATGAGTATTTTTGCTGTTTAGGCCTTCAGTCTATAAGGCAGAGTGTCATGAAATGTCTACTCTTAAATCTTGTTACCTATTATGTGTTTCTGATGTGGCCGAAACCCTAACACCGCCGCGCTCTCTGCTCTGACTCTCAGGAGTTACCGGGACGGCACGGGCAAGGGTCGCAGTCTGGGCGCCGCGCTGCTCCCGCTGCTCTCCCCCTGTATCCTGCTGGGCACCGCCACAGCGTGGGCGCTCCTCTCTCCCAGTGACGTCATCAACGTCGACCTGCGGCTGTTCACCTACGTCAGTGGCGTGGTGTTCTCCAACATTTGCGTGAGTGTGGGGTGGGAGGCGTGGAGGGGGGGGGGGGGTCGATTCGGAAGGTTGGGTGGAAACTGGAAGAAGCCTTAGGGAATGGGAAATTGGATTAGCGATGGCTGGGATGGTATGAGAGTGTTTTGTGGGGTTAGGCCCTTTCGGTCTAACGGGACCGTTTCAGAGCCGGGAGGATGATAGGAATTAGGGAGAGGCATTGCTCTGGGCGGGCAGCCCGGTGACTTGTCGGGGCTGAGCCCATCCATTGGACAGGCCACCAAGCCCCCTGTCACCGCACCCGGCTACGGGCTTGTTCCTGGGGTGGAGCTGCGTGCATGGGGTAAAATTGCACGTCCAGCCCGTAACAGGGAGTAGAGACGCGGAAGAAAAGGATTTGACTATACTGATGATGGAAACGACGAAATGGATGGAAGGAGACTTGAGAGATACGCTGCTGGGAAGTTTGGTGGTCGGAAAGAAAAGCTAGGAAAAAGATGCTCGAACTTCAGATATGCGGCGAGTGTTACGGCACGTTAGTGTTCGTATTTGCTAATTGCTAATCGTACACTCATAATGCAGTTAATGTCTGGAATCATTCTGTTGGAGCTTGGATGATCCGCGCTGTCTTTACCCGGACTACTTTACCGGGATCATTTGAGAGCCCATGGTTATTTGCTAATGCATTGGGACGTTGGGAGCATAATGGGAGCATCGTCTCTATCGCCAGTTTCATCCCTATTTATCTTGGTCACTACCCGCCAGACTGTCCCATCTGTCGGTACCCATCTGATCATCTCTCCTCTCTCGGTACTCGGTGCCTACCCATTCTGACCGTGTCCCTCTCATTCCCCAGTGTCGACTGATAGTAGCGCAGATGACCAACACGGACGTACAGCCGCTGAACCGACTGCTGGCGCCGGTGGCAGTCGCCGCTGCCGTGGCGCTACTCAGTCCTCAGTCCTCGGGGGCCGAGATGGGCGCCCTCTGGACGTTAGCCGTGCTGGTGACGCTCGCCCACCTCCACTACGGTATCTGTGTGGTAAGTGTGGGGTCTGTGTGTTGAATGCGGAGCCCGTGTTAGGACTTTAGGGTCATCTGTGCTCGGAGTACGGACAACGGAGTCGGTGTGTTTAATTTGGAGTCCGTATGGGGAGTTTGTGATTCGTATGGCGAGTTGTAGACACGAGTTACGTGAAAGTGATGCCGGAGCTGATGCGTAAGTCAGGGATTGGTCTCGTGGTGGGCATGAGATCGGTAACTGATTGAAACTAGACTGCCTGTGCATCATATGGTGGCTGCTGAGTTTTTTTTTGCGATATGGCGCTCTCCCTCATTAGCTTTTAGAGATTATTGTTGTGCGTGTACCGTATTACCTACCGGCTGATTTAGGGAGCCTGGTAAATTGCGTAGATCGGTGTCCTTTTTTCTCCCGCTCGTCTTCTGTGATGTAACCCCTCACTCCTGCTGTTCGTTGCTGGTTGCCGCTGTTATGTCCCCATTAACACGACCTCTGCTCTGTCCTCAGGTACGGCAGATGTGCCACCACTTCAAGATCCCGGCTCTCACAGTCAAACAAAGGGTCGATTGACTATTAGCCGACGATGCCTAAACGCTAGAGGATTTGTATTGGCCACGCCGCCCGGTCACAGACTGACTCCAGCGCCGCCGGCCGCCGGACGGGCCCTCCGGGGGCGCCACTGGTCCTCCGGGGCGCCACTGGTCCTCCGGGGGCGCCAGTGTGCCCTCCGGGGGCGCCACTGTGCCCTCCGGGGGCGCCACTGAGCCCTCCGGGGGCGCCACTGTGAGCCCTCCGGGGCGCCACTGAGCCCCTCCGGGGGCGCCACTGACCCTCAGGGGCGCCACTGAGCCCCGGGAGCGGCCCGTCCCCTGACCCTCCCCGGTCAGCGGCCGCGGCGCCGGAGTCACACACTAGAACTGACGCAAAACGCGCTCCAGTTCAGTTGCACGTTTGAATCAAGGAACACACACGTTTGGGTTAATTTTAGCTGTCAGTTTGAATTGGGGAATTATTTTGGGGTTTGTTTAATTTGGTAGACTTAGTTTCGCTTTAGCTGTTGGGATTTATGTGATCAGGGTGATTTCGCGCCGCGTGAGACCAATCGTTATCATTTCGTATGGTAATCTTCTAGTGTTGGGTATCGTCCCGAATCGGAATGGTAGGGCGTAGTGGGTGGTCACCCACTGGGTTTAATCAGGTAGTTGACTGGCTCGTGGCCACGGAGGGCTTTGACCTTTGACCTTCAATCAATCATCTGAGGCGTCAGTCTGTGCTGCTATACCCTGGACAAGGTACCGATAGGTAGTTTTACTATTGCTACTCTGTTCAGGGTAGTTCATACCTATTTTCCACCCCGGGCTAGGCACAGATGAGGACGCAGCTCACAAAAAGGTCATAACGCCCTCCGTGGCCACAGCCTCGGATGATGCATGCTGCATGATAGGAAATTTGGGATTGGGGAGGGCTCCTAGGTTGGATGTGTGTCGTCTGAAAACCGCGTCAGGGCTTTATTTGGGAATTGGGAAACCGCGTCAGGTAATCCATGTGTTAATTTCCAATTTGATACGCACTCATTGCACGCTATAATCGACTAGATAAGTAGTACATTGACGAGCACGGTACTGTTTGTGGCAGTCCGTTCCATGCCGATCTCCTCTCATTGTAACCCGCAGTCAGCCAGCGCCGGCTGCCGCCAATCGGCGCCGTAGTTTAGCCTCTGACGGCGCCGATCGCTCCCCGAGACGAGACCCGCCTCGCCTCCCGCTCTGCCAGGCTAGTCATGGAACTGTTCCTCCCGGTCCGAGCGCGCGCCGCTGACAGCGTATTGTGCTGAGTTTGAGTCACTCGACCATTCCCGGCAGAGGGAATTTAGTACCCCCTGTCGGTGCTTCGCGTTAGATGATTGCCGATGATCTGCTGTAGCCCGCTCCAGCAGTAGTCAGCTGCTTGCAGGGCTGCTCGCAGCGGCCGCCAATAGCTTGCCTCCGTTCGTTTGCGTTGTTTAATGTGGAGTGACGCCGTGGTCTGCATCAGACCTCAATCCAGCGCCATAATCGCCAAGCCAGCGCCATGATTGTCGCAGTCAGCGCCACTTTTGTCGCATCCAGCGCCACTATGTCGCAGGCAGCGCCACTATGTCGCAGGCAGCCTCATCATTTTTGCGACCAGCGCTAATCTTGGCGCGGTTGGCACCATAGTCGCCGCAGCCAGCGCCATGATTGTCGCAGTCAGCGTCATAATTGTCGCGTTGCCGCTCCGTATCACTCATCCCGGCGCGTTCAGACCATCATCGTGACTTTCCGCAGGCTCATGAGCCGTCGTGGCTTCCCGATGCATAATGCGACTCAGTAAATTGGTGATTTGTCATTTGTTTCGTCTCTGATTGTGATTGTATCAGCCAGACCTACCGTGACGAATTCGTCCGTGTGGCAGGCGTTCCTTTTTGGTACCCTGGTACAGCGAGTTGTGGGTGGTACATTCGGTAACCAGTACCGGCGACTGGCGAGTCAGAGGTGTGTGTGGACTGTCGACAAACGCTAGCGATAGGATGATTACGTGTATGTGTGTGTGAGTGTGATGAGCTGGTCGGCTGGTCCTGAGGTGGACTGGATCTACGGCGACGGGTGACTATTGTATACCGAACAATATACCGTCTGTACCGAACACACAGACTGTTTGAGACCGCGTGGGATGAATCAAAATCACGGCGGATGACGGGAGGGATCAGCTGCCTGGTGAGACTTATCCAGACTTTTGAATCTGGATAAGATCTGAGTGTCAGAGGGACGCTCGGGTTTGGCAGTGGGAGCCTGAGAGCTAGGCCGGTCTGGGCTGGATGATGGTGGGGAGGTGTTGGTACGTCTGTCTGAAGAAGATATAGGAAAGGGTACGAAAGTCAGCTATTGGGAAAGGATATGGCCCTTTTGGGGTGCCTGCACGAATGGGTAACTGGTGAACAACGATTGTACCTAAAGTGGAACATACGAGTTCCGCATTTTCTTAGAATAAGAATACATCCGTTTTTTTGGTATCCGTTTGAGTCAAAGTTCCGCTGTGGGTACGCAAAGGTCATGTTCTACGCATCGTGAACCTCGTTTTACTATAAACAGCACTGACCTCTGAACAGTGCAGTAGGGTGTGATGCGCAATACGGGGTCAGCGAGTCATGGATGTCACGAGTGTCGGCCGAACAGAGGGAGGCTATCGGTGCGAAATCAGCGAGCGCAGCAAGTTTTAAACCGGCCAAACGATTGGTTTACTAATTTGTGTGGGACGTGAAGTTAATGATTCTTGTATACTTTTTTATTTTTTTATACTTTTTTATACATTAACATTATACTTAACATTTATATTTACTTAACATTTTCAATTGTTTTATTGTCTGACTATAGACGCGTAATAACCACGTCCTACGTTCCGTGGAGCGTCTACAAACGCTAACACAATGCGATACAAACCACGTGCGATTGCGCTCTGCATAGTGCATGGACCACACTGTTTTCGTGTGGCAAAACGGTCCCTATTGCATAATGCATGTGTCGTCGACAGCTCGAGTGTGTTGTCTGGCTATCCAAATGGAGCGGCCCGACCGGTTGGCGTGAATAATTCCCGCTGGTCCGATACCGCTGATAGGAACGTATCCCCACGCCAGGGATGCCCCCGGTTCTGCGAGCAAGAGGGCGCCCACTGACCAAACCACAAACGGATATAGAGACGCAGATCAGGATAGTGCTGGCGCGGAAACCACCTAACCACTGGAAACTGGGCCCGTCAGTGTCGCGGCAAATATAGAACAGGCATGACGTGTTTTCCGGCCAGGGAACATTCACCATTGCGTAACAGCTGCACGTTACGTTACATGTTGAAAGCGGTCAGGTTTAGTGATAGGAAGGCGGTTGGGCGGGACGCTACCTGTCTATTGCAATGATGTGCCGCTATGAGTCCGCAGGGAGGGGACATTGGTTACTCGACAAACTGCAGATATACTCTATACGCCGGAGTCTGCAACGGCGATCGGAAATCGGTGGGAACGTTTCACAGTCATAGTTCATTGTCCTAGTTATGTGTATATTTTACCACTAACGACAGTAACATCATCACAGAACAGCATCTCGACACATTCTGACCTGATCAACAGACGACCAATATCACGAGCATTGCACAGAAAATTGCGCCATCAATTGTCTATCAACACTCGTTTTGCCAGGAACTCCTTTTTGATAGCTTCCCTTTCGCTCGGTTCGGGCAGATCCGGCTCGATTCCTGCCTGTCTCCGCCGTTTCCGCACCTCACCCTACCAAACACAGAAGAAACAAAGCTTAGACTGGGAAATGGGATCACTAGCTCAACTCAGTGATAACATAGTTCAACCCTTTTGGTCATACTTCCTGAGCACTCTGAGGATCATTGCGATTATTTCCCCTTGTCGAAAGAGAGAAACCGCAACATAGGATGAACCTCACGGTAGGGTAATTATTTGTTTTATAAAGGAAAAATAGTTTGTGCTGACGCAAATATGAAACACTAAACATGCGTCCTGCATCAGCTAAATGGAAGCTGACATTCTCTACCTTTTTAGGGTCTCGTAACCTTTCAACATGAGTAATAACCATTGTAACGTTTTGTTAGATCCCGAGACCGACCGAATGCCTTGATTTGCACTACAACATTGTCCAAACATATATATCTTGTCACCAATTTATGTACAGTCGTACGCAAAGGTAAAATCGTTGCCAGTTAGTATCGGTTCATTCCGCACTTCCTTGATAAAGTCATTGCCGATCTGATGGACAGCATGGAGGCGTCTTCTGACGCGACTAAGGAACTACCAGGACACAGAAGGACCAAGGTGACGGGCACTCACCCAAAACCGCTTGCATGCATTGTAGTTATTCATGTGCAGCTCGCATTTGCTTTTATCATAGCCGCTTGCATCCATACATTTCTGAACTTTCTTCTGTTCCTGAAAAAGAATAGCACTTTACATGGTTATGAAAGTAAATGAAAATATTTATATATGACTAATAAAAACTATTCACACAGGGTGCGCAGAAAGCCTTAGTGCCTTGCTGTCAGACTTGCCAGTGCACGCTGCGAATCAGCCGGCTCCCGAATGTCTCAGGTGTGATGATTGCTGACTCGCTATGCATAAATGAGGCACAAACTGTGGAACGCAGGACTATGTACTATTCATTGGTGTTTTGCTCAGCGGATCGAGACAAAGATGCGAGCCACGGATTCATGGTGATAGGAGATACGCCCCTTCCCCTCTGAATCAGCACCGCAGCGGTCGTTTACCCTCCCTCCCCCACAAACACTCCCGATAAACCCTTGTGTTTTTGTTCCTGATTTGGGGCCTCAGTTGTTTCTATCTCCACCTCTACGCTCTGTTTTAAGCCTGAAACAGACTCTTTCCGCAGTCAGGAAATCACATGCGAGAGCCTATTCAAATACATGGAAGCACGCTCGCATCAATCGCACGCACCTCCCGCAAGCGATTGATGCGAGAAGAATTACAATGTATTTGAATAGGCTCTCGCATGCGATTTCCTGAACGCGGAAAGAGTCTGTTTCAGCCTTTGGCGCCTCGGTTGTATCTATCTCAGCCTCTAGCGAAGCTGATAGATGTTCAGCTCTGGAGAGCCCTGACCATAGGACTGCCATGATCTCACACTGCAACACATGGCGCACAGCAGCAGTGTTTTGACCTCTTGGGTCTAACACATCGATCAAGCAATGAGTCCACAATCAATTTTGTCAACCCCAACCAGCTCAATCACAGCATGTGAGGAGTTTTAAAGATGATGTCAAGGCCAATCCTCATCTAAATCTAGTTGCTTTAAGTTGCATCCCACTTGGTAGGCACAGGAGAGTGAGTGATGCACACTAGCTGTACAGAGTACAGACTAGACAGGTTTAACAACCACAATACCTACCAAGCCTCCCCACAAACTCTTATCTTATTTTGACATAGGTATGCAGTATGTACCTGCCGGTCCCGTAGCTCAGTTGGTTAGAGCGTTGGACTCCGCGTGGTGAGAGCACGCGTTCCCGGTTATGACAGTCCGGGTTCGAAGCGCGACGGGCGCTCGACATTTATGGGCCTCCTGACAGGTATGGTTGCGGTTGGTGGCAGGCCGTAGCCAGGCGAAGTCAGCGAGGGGACCGGCCGTGCGCGGCTTTGTGCGCACGTAAAACTTTGGACTCTAAATTCTGCCATAGAATCGGAATTGCGCGATCGGAGGGTAGAGGGCAGGGTCATCGCAACAAGCTTCGCTTAGCGGTGGCTCTGTCCTTGTGAATCCTTCCCATCAAAAGGTTCGGACTAAATTTATGAAAAAAAACAATTTTCAAGTACGTAACTACACATTTACTGATATTTGGGGTTAATTCATCAGTATATACCTAGCTTAAACATCCTGTGATTACCTCAGATTGAAGCACATTCTATGTATCTATCATGTCCTCATGCCAGTATCACACTTACTAGCTAAATGCATGAAGCATTTGGACAATACTTACTGGTTATATAATGCATACAACCAGTTCATATTCATTTGATTTGCAATCACTCACAAATGGGAAGGCATAGAAACATTGTTGTCTTGACTCACCAGTAAGCAAGGGTTGTTAATCTGACTCATCTGAGAGCCAGCACGGATATTCCTCTGCCTCTCCTCCTCTGTTGTTGCCTTTGGCAGGTTACCTGCATTTCGGTTCATCTGAGCGACGCTGAAAAGGGACAGATGTGCTGATAATAGAAAAGAAAACATTAATATTCTTCCCACATGGAAGCTTTCCTGAATCAGCCAGGGACAGCCATGCAGATTCAATGTGGTACCTAGTCTTAGGTTCTTGAGACAAAAAAAGTGCCGAAGTCAAGCACATTTGGCAAGCCCCTATAAGTTTGCTTTTAGAGTATTGTTTAAGGAAAATACAATTTGATTATCAAATAAATAAGTGGTCAAACAAAGCTATATTGGCATCAATATTGGACTAATCAAGTCGAAATACAATGTGATTTTAAATCAAAATGACCCTGCCAAAGTATGGAGGTACCTAACAATTTCTAATCTGGTGCAACCAATAGAACGCTGCATACATACCTTCTAAGGGGAAATATTAGATCATTAACTTAACAGTAATTGGCAGAGGAAAACTAAATATTATAACCAAATATTTCGGCTTTATTGATCAGCCTTGTTCACTGGTTTGAAATACATTTTTCTCAAAAACATGACTATAATATGACATGGTTATAATATTTAGTTTTCCTCAGCGAAGCCCGTTTTGAAAACAATTAACTTTTTAGATATTTATTAACCTGAGGAAAAGAATAATGACGCTTCGGCAACATCTAGTAATTGGCAGATAAAATGCCTTAAATCCTTGTAAGTTCCTTTTGTTTGTGGAGCCTGCAATGTCAACTTTCAGTGCAATTTTCACAACAAATAAATGCAATCCACAAATGTAACAGATGCGCAGTGAATGTATAATTTTTAATTCTTTTTATTTGGAGAGGTAATTTAAAAAACAATGCCTATTCGTTTGCTTCAAAAATAAAAAAAATAATTAAATTGTCCCAAATCTAACATTACAATGTCAAAATAACATTAACTAAAAATATAAATCACTTTCTGTTGGAGATTGCTTTCGTAGTAAAAGTCTACCTCACTCGGACTCGGTAGAAAAGAAGGATGGCGGGAGTACTGTGCTGAATCCTATTGCCAGTGCTACCAGTATATTCTACCGGTTTGCTACGACGTCGGTGATTGGCCAGCGATCATCAATGAACTCCTACTATTGCGTCGTAGTAAATACCACGTGCGCAGCAGTGAGGATCAAAACAAAGTACTGTGGTGGGTTCCGCGACAGCATGGGCCAAAACCTGTGATCATCTTTGATTTGTGTGATTGTGTGTCATCCTAAGTGATTCTGAAGTGGTTTTGCGCTTTTTCGGAGACGCAATTTTTCCAGAAAGGGGAGTTTTCGTGCTTTCAAAGAAGGAGGTCACAGGCTGAGGCGGAGCGGAGGTGACGACGCCCTTCCATGACTCAGGTAAGTTCGAGTCTCCTGTGTTTTCTCCTATTTGATATAAGTGAAAAAACCAGAATGTATTGTTTAAAAACTTATTCTCAGCAATTGCATTGCTATGTGTTGTGAAACAGTACGAGGAAAGTAGATGACCTTGAGGGTGAGACAATAACCTCGGGCGTGGAGTGTCGCCGCGTGGCAGTGGAACCTTACATCATCCCTAGGAATTAGGAAATGGTAGATTATGATGCAAACTGAGTGCTTAAAAGTGTGTCACTAGGTTGAGGGCCGGTCAAGATATGGATTCCTCTGGTAAAAGTCGCCAATATCAAAAGGTTTCAGGCGCATCATTGAAAAAGCACCATCAGTTTATGCCAATGCACTGAGGCTGGGCTCCCTTATCGGGGTAAGTACTACGCCGCTAGAAAAGACCGATTCTTTATCTTTTTTCTCTGTGTCCGACGAATGAATTTTAGTACCCCGGACTGTGTTTTGCGATGGTACTTACCTAAGTGATGAGAAGCGGTAAATGAAGCTGTTTCGATAACCGGTTTCCTGGATCGCCCTGAAGGGGGATTGTCTTCTCCTTGACACAATTGTCTGGAGTTTTTTTCTGAGCCGTCTTTATGTGGAATTTCGCATTGTACCGTGCCCTGTGCATTTAAATGTCTGCCGGAAAGCAATATCGATGATTCGTCTTGTGTCTCTGGAATTGAGCCATAGTCGAATCCTAAAGGATACGTGATTATATAATGGTTTTAACGTAATCTTGACGTCAGTTGATGCCGCTTCCATTCCAATAAACTGAAAGGTGCGGAAGCCATGGATAATCTGTTATCGTTGGTAGGTAGGTTTTGTAACAATCTGCCTTTTGTATCCCCAGGACCGTCCTGCTTGATCACAGTTTGAGTTGCCTGTTCAGGCCTGACGGTCCGACTTTTCACACCACCGGGATAGGTCGCTCTTTGAGGAGCATGCCTCTTCGCGATGACCGTTGGATCGGCTGGGTGGCATTTTGTTGGCCTTTTCCACCCGTTCACTCTTTCAATATGATGTAGGTACAGTCCACAGCAGAAGTAATGTGGGGTTTCAGTCATGGGTATGTTCTGCTTCTGAAGCTTAGGAACGATTAGCCAGACTACAGTGAAACTTTGAATGTAGCTTATATGTATCGTCACCCTTGCAGCTGCAACTTGAGCTATTGACATCTTCTTTTCGATCACTCCGCATTAAACAATCGCCAGTCAAAGCCAACCGTTGAGATTGGTAAAACCCTACATTACTTTAGCGGTGGGCTGTACCTACTAAGTCTCTGCAGCTGGCAGCATAAGTCTCTGAGCGATCCAGCCTAATGGCTCTCCTTCATCCCGTGCCCAACGGTCCTGAACTGATCTCATTACTTGACCGATTAATGGCCTGACTGAACGGAAACACAAATAATTGTTTGCGTAACCAGAATAAGTAGCGAGGGCTAGTCTTTAAAGTCAATTTATGATAGTTATAAAAGTTCCCATTGCGGAGCTATGGAAAGGAAGCTTTGAAAGCGCTAATGCCGCTCGACCTGTGAAAGGAAAGCTGTGAAAGCTTCAATGCGAGCTATGAAAGGGAGCAGAAGAAACGTCTATTGCGAGGCTATGAAAGCTTCGATACGAAGCTATGAAAGGAAAGCTGTGAAAGCTCTAATGTGAAGCTATGAAATGAAAGCTATGAAAGCCATAATGCGAAGCTTTGAAAGGGGAGCTATGAAAGCTCTAATCCGAGGTTATGAAAGCTCTAAAACGAAGCTATGAAATGAAGACTACGGATTACGAAAGCTGTTATGCCAACGTATGAAAGGGAAGCAATGAAAGATCCCATGTGAAGTTATGAAATCTCCTGGGTAATTGGTGAACTCCCTGTGACAAGGAGCGGATTAGCGACTCCTCTGCGGGGTGTCAGTCACGCTTGGCCTGTTGCTTAAAAAATGACCGATTAAGGGTCTAATTTCAGAGGCGCCGACCCTATCCGGCCGCTTCAAATGGCTCACCAATTCAACATAACATATGACCTTTTCTTTGGTTGTCCAGGTCACCCATGAATGAACGTCTACATGTTTTGGGGATCATTGATTTTTGAAATTAGATACTTGAGAAACATGAAATGAAAATGTTAACTCATTCTAGATTCCAGATCCGCATGATTCGATAACGAAAGCATAATGCAGAGCACTAAAGGCACGAGGAAAGGAGGCGACAGGAGACATTATCCAATATGATCTTTGATTCTCCTGAACCCGGCTGGACCACGCATCCTTTGACAAGGGGACAAACAAAGTACGTCGACGGTTCCCAGGAAGATCATTTTTAGTGCTGCGTTTATGTAATTTTACATGAGAAGCAAAAGCATCTTCTGGAGCGACTGTGGCCCATAATGCTGAGGGGTTTTTGCACTCTATCTCAGCACAGGAAGCAGCTATCAGTACGGGTGTTCGTGCTTCCTTCGCGCTCGACCTGAGTTTACTCAAAAGTCACAGCTGTTATAAAAATATCAACTTCGATAAATTTGGCACTCATGATGTTCTTGCCGTGAACCCTCTACGTCATCCAGGGTTCAGGAGAAGCCCTTTGAGTAGTCAGGAACACCAATCACCATTAACAATGGCGAATCCGGAATCCGGATTTAACTTAAATTTCCTGTGGAAGTGTCTTGTTTTACACGGCTCATATGAAGCCGGATCCGGTATTTTTCACTCGAATGACATGTGTCACTAGCAATGCATCAACTATCTACTTGTTTAGCTTCATTGATCCGAGGCATCTAAGCTAGTTCCTTACAGTCCAACCCATGGAATGTTTGACTGATACTTCTATGACAGTTTCATATCATTTTTATCTGTGTTTTTTTCATTATTTTATCACCCGTATCTCTCAATAGGCTGTACTTACAAGGTTCAACCTTGTAAGTATATGTATACCATATGTATTTGCAATTTCTATAGTATAGAAATTGCAAATACATATGGTTGATACCTATGTTTAGTCGCAGTTTTGAAGAGTCATTCCTCGAACTCGATTCTGTAGCATCCATTTGGGATAGTGCGGCTTCCTGAAACGGAAGTTTAAAGATGTAGCTGACCTGACCAATGTGACCATGGCTATGCGTCTCGGTCCCTCGAGGTCGTCTCATGGCTCCATTTCGGTATTCTGCGAATCACGTGGCCGACCTTTGACCAGTGTTTACCCACACGTCATCTCTGGCGCCTGACACACCAGACAGGGTGGGGCTGTCTGTCGCACACGGCTGAAACATTCGGCTGGAGCGGACAGAGCGCAGACGGGACGGGAAGGGGACCGGCGAACTGAAACAGTAACTTGACGCCGTTCAGTGTCGGAGTAAGGCTATGACTATACAGACAGTGCGAGGGATTATAGATAGACAAGGATCTGGGATTGTTTGGAATCGGAAAGGCTCCTGGGTGAAATAAGTAAAGGGAGCACAAGTTGGACGGAACAATCAAAGATATCAACACCATATCGTGTTTTTTCCATACCCTATAAAAATTGAGTCCCGCTTTGTTCTCACCCCCATCGATAAATGTCCGCTATTAAACTGAGTTCCAATGATAACTATATATAGTAAACTCGTGTCGGGATCTGAGAAATGGGTCTGGGATCTGGATCCCACGGACCTTTTTTCGATCTGATTGGATCATACATCCGGCAGTCTTATTTGTCGCAAGGTTCATTGGGATTATATATTTAACTTAATGTTTCGTTTAGAAATCCGGTGAGACCATATATCCTAACTCAATATTTGTCAACACAATGAGGGACACTTGGTGCGATCCGCAACGGCTTTGTTTTAGGAATCTTATGTTGATGTGGTTACACATCGCAATTAACAGTTTTGTGACACTTCTTGACACGAAACCGTCTGGAGGCGTGGTTTCACAGGTTGCGTGGTGATCCACCCGATCCACTCGATCCACGATGATCCACCTTCCACAATGATCCACTCGGATCATTGATTCCTGTCCTTGAGTTGTTATTAGATCCAATGAGATAATAGATCCAGGATGTTTTCTTGTGGGGCCCAATGGGATCTAGATCCTAAATTGTCTGTTGTTTCCCGATCCACTGAGATCATAGATCCATCACTCAGATCCGTGCGCATGTCTGAATTAAGTAGCTGTACTATCACACTGTATTTAGTTGATTGCTAGTATTGACACTTCTCTGGAGAAACAACGGTACAGCAACCAATGAATGATCTTACCAATGAATGATTTTACCAATGAACCAACGAAAGCCAACCAATGAGGAAAGCGATGAGACAGAATGCATGCGAACACCTCACAATTTATATTTTACATAGCGTTGTTTTGTAGGATTC